AGATTATGACACATCACAACCGTATTTTGTGTCAGCTTTCTCTTCAATAGAATAACACTGCGAGATTTTTCAAGCTTAGCTAGCAGAGCTACCCCTTGATAATTCCCTGCTTCCTTTCAAAATTGCAAGTGGAGCATCAGACTCACCAATGCAGCATACAAAGCTAGGATCAGTGTTGTGCTCATCTCTGCTCATATGTATTCAAAGAACCCTTGGAAGCAGATGCTGAATTTCCCCCTGCAATTCCCAGTGTCATTGCTCTCCAGGGGATTGTGTTGCTTTTGCCCTGAGCACTGGCTGCAAAAACCAACACTGTGCTGACTTTGTACACAGACAGTGGAAGAGAGCCAGGCAGCAGAAGAGGCCAGTTTGCTCTGCCCTTGTCAGTGTTCACCCACAGGCTGCCAAACACAGATTTGATCAACAACAACTTTACATCTTACCTCAGGATCAGTGATTGACAGAATGGATGCCTCTTTTCTAGTGACTCCAGCAAACAGAAATTAGCAGGGACTTCTTAGAGGGGCATTTTTTATGATCTGTTATTAAATCACTAGTTAAAAACTAAACATAAAAAACATTTTTGAGAATAATACTGTTCAGATGGAAAGCATCATGGTAACTATGAAATATAAAGTGAGATTAGGCTTTTTATTATTCCAAGCAGAATATCAATTAACCTATTTATTACATTAAGGTGGTGAAATATAAATTATTTATGAGGAAAGGAATTTGTTTTTCCTCATTTTGAGCTCCAGTCATTACACATTTGGCTCTGGAGCCACAGCTGTTTCTTTTTTGGAAAATGAATAGCTGAGAAAAACAAGCCTTGTAGAACACAACTCAAATTTCAATTGCAAATACTTAGAAATTTAAATAAAGCCAAAGAGACCCAGCAGGTAGAAACACTCAATATTTTTCATTGCTCCAGTGAAAACCCAATCACTAAATTAAAGCCAAACTCTCAAGGTCCCACAATTGCTACAATAAACATATTCTATAAGATGATAGCATGGATGAGATAGTGCAGAGCTGTCACCTCAAAGGACCCTCAAAAGAGGAATGAGAAGCAGCAAATATTTTGTAATAGCACTGATGGAATCTTACTGGATTTAAAAAGACTTCAGATGTACTTGTTCTCCAAGTGATAAAGAGACATACTGAAATATTATGGCAGTAAACAAGAAAAAAGAAGGAATGGAGAGTAAAGAAGACAAATAGTACCCCCCCCAAAAAAAAAAAAAGGAAAAAACCTATGATAGCAAAATCATTCTATCTAAGATGTGAATAAAAGTTTGACATGCCAGCATAAATTATTGATGTCAATGCTTTTTAGCATTTTTTGACTGGACTATGTCAATATAGAAAAGTATTAATGGGAGAATAATTATCAAAGAAATTAGAATCAAACTAATTAGAATCAAACAAATTTCAGCTCATTGTGAATTTCAGACCCCTCAGGGCCTGACTAAGGGATAGGCTGAGCTAAATTTTTTCCACTGGCCTTCCATTGACAGCAGGAGAAATATTCAATTTGCTGTCACATAGAATTTGTAGTAGTGCACATCCAGAGCTATATCAATTTACTCTAGCTGTTATCCAACCCATTATTTCCATGTCTGTTTACAAGCTGCTTTATTTTTTGCAGACTTGTCTACAAAATAATGAAGCTGAACCAGCTACTGGAATGTATATGCACTGGGCTAGCCAAAAGAAATATATTCCCACAGCTGAAGTAATTCACATCAATCCTGAATTCTCACTTCATGGCTGCTTAGTTCTGGGGTTTTAAGTGCATTTCCTGACATTGAAAATGTGGAAATTTTGGTGAAAAATTAGTTAATGCATCTATCTGCCTGTATACGCTGGAAGTATGGAACCTTTAAAAACAAAAATCATTGTTTTTTTTCAGTGGGGGAAAAAAAAACCTCAGCAGGATAATGCTCTGACTGAATCCTAAATGTTACTGTTTTCAATACTCAAACAAATGAGTAGAAACTGAGCCTGTGCAGGGAACAGTTTGCAAAACAAACCAGCCTATGCATCTGAGAATAAACCTGCAGTTAAAAAAAATAGGAGGCCACAAAGAAACCATGTCTTATTGCTGATATCACCCCAAATCGAACTTCATTCTTGGAAGATTCATCAAGATACCTCTGATCAGGAGAATCCATGGATCTGCACATGTTGTCCAACATGCTCTTTGTCTGGCTACTTAATGGAGGCTGCCCTGATGTGATTAACAGAACTCAGGTGGGGAACAAGTGGCTTTGGGCTGCTTACATCAAAGAGCAGCCAGTGGTACCCTGAGACAGGAGCCACTGGTGTATCTCTGGAATGCAGTCACTCTCCTCTTCCTTCTTGGTCTCTGAACACGCTTGTATTTTAAACCAGTCTGGGCAGAACTTTACAGCTTATTTTTGGCAGCATGTGAAAGAGTTTGTTGTCAAGCCTTTAGCTTCAGATTGGTCAGCACAATTTTTCTGAAAATTTTTACAGTGTTCAGTCTTTATTCTGTGCCAAGTATGAGCTGACTGCAAGAGGACTACGTTGCACTTACAGCAACTACACTTCAGCTGTCATGTTCTAGGTGGAACGTCAAATACTTAGAGATAAGACAAGTCTTCCACAGTTCAGGGTATGAATACCATAAATTTGGCCCTCTCCCACTACAGTGAAGGAAATCAATCGGTAGCTCTGGAGCAAGTTGACTGCCCATGACATGTTGCAGCCATTCATTAAGCAAAGACCTTTAAAGTTATGTGCAAAATACTGAAGAACATTAGCAAAGACCTCTAAGAACAAAAGGGTATGACTAATGATGCTAATTTACAGCTCAGACATATGAAAAACACGCTCAGGTAGCATATTTTCTGCTAGATTGTGTGAAGAAACAATGTACCCCAAGTACTAGCATTAAGTCTGGAATGAATAACTCATAAAAATTTTACATATATGCAATTCAAATAGAACATACAGCTAATAAAGTTACAAACATTGAATTAACATACTGTGCTGGTTTGGCTGAGATTCTTCATAGTAGCTATTACAGGGCTGTTTACAATTTGTGCTCAAAATATGCTAAGATAGGGCTGTTTTCATTATTGCTAAGCAGTGCTTACACATCATCAAGGCCTTTTCTCCTTCTGACCTACCCCACCAGTGAGGGGACTGGGGATGCATAAAGACTGGGGAGGGGACCCATCCAAGACAGCTGACCCCAGCTGGGGGTGAGCACATAAAGCTGGAGGAAGGAAAGGAGGAATATTTGGAATGGTCGCATTTGTCTTCATGGTAACTTAAATGGGATGGAGCCTGCTTTCCTGAAGGTATCTGAGCATCTGACTGCCAATGGGAAGTGGTAAATTAATTCCTTGTTTCATTATGCTTGTGTGCATGGCTTTTACCTTACCTATTAAACTGTCTTTATTTCAATCCACGTGTTTTCTAACTTTAACACTTCCGATTCTCTTCCTCATCCCACTGGGTGTTGGGGGGACTGAGTGAGCAGCTGTGAGGGGCTGAGTTGCCAGCAGGGGTTAATCCATGATATATACTGAATGCAAAAACACATTTTAAAAAACAAGATGGATCTTTAAGTTAAAGAATTGTCTTCTTTCCGACCTCCACCATTATTTAACAATATAGAGACAATGACATACAGGAAATACACTTAAACTGACATGAAGGTAGATTTAAAACAGCACAGGAGGAGTATCTGCAGCAGACCCAGGATCTTGGCTCCAGCATTGTTTCAGTCTTGGCAGGAACTTGCTCGTTGTAGACAAAAGATGTTGGTGACCAGTTACATCTTGTCCCGTTGATGTTGGCATTGCCCTGTTTATAGCAACTCCTATCTACTGCCAGACTTCACCTTTGGCTGTTGCCAGATTGCTGCCAGACCTGTTTCCCCGTGGAGCCGGCGCTGGAGCCCTCTCAGGCGGGCACTGGCGCTGTCGCTCTGCCCGGCCCGCGCAGGTGATGCTGCGGGCTGAGCAGCGAGGGGAGCGCTCCCTGCGCTGTGCCCGAGCGCCGCAGCTCCGCCGCAGCGCGGGGCGGAGGGAACGGGAGCCGCCGCCACCCTCCCGTGCCAAGGGCGCGGGGCCCCGAGCGGCGCCTCAGCCGGAGCCCGCAGCAGCGGCGGAACACAGCTCACTGGCACAGGAACGGCTTTTTAAGTGGTAGTTTTCACAGTATTCTTCTAATTAGGAGTATGCATATTATGTTGAGTCAGTAATTTTTCACAATGGCCACTGAGTCACAACAGTATCTGACTGCTCATTCAGTTTTTGCTCATGCTTGTGCTTCTACTCCACTTTATAGACAATTCTAAAAGATGGGAAAAAATTAAACATTCTCACTTCAAAGCCTCTTTCTTGATCCTCTCTATTCATCAAATTTATTTTTGCAGTTATGCATAGACCTGGCTGATCTTACAGTTCCAGATACAAGAATTAAAACTGCATCATGTTAGGAGACTTAGAGTGGCAAATTATTGAACTATACTTCAGTTTCAAAAGGCCCCAAAGATCCACACAAAGAATACGAGTAATATGGGCAAAGCTAGAAAACAGCAGTTGTTCAGAATTAGAATAGCGACTCAAAGTAAATGTGAAAAGAATTGCTGAGGGATTATACAGCTGATTTTTTCTTAAAGAATTCAACCTCTTATGAATTGCTGAGTAAATACTTGCAAACCATGTCAAAGACTTCAAACAACTCATTTGCTAGAAAAGTACAAAAGGAATTTCACCAACAGTTTTATGTAGTCTTAACTTTCTCCTGCTTACTCTGGCAAAATCAGAAAGGCTATACTCAGCAGTATGTCATATCCCATTCTCCACACTTTTTTTTACACCTTTCTGCATTTCTGGTCAACATACTTGTTAACTGTGCTTCTTTTCTGAAAATCTTTGCAAGGTTCCACAGTTGTATAAAATTACAGAGTACTAAAAACTGGAACAGGTGACACCACATTACAGTCCACCGAGAGAGAGAACCCCCTTAGAACCGTGAGTCCACAAAATTTTTTATTAAAATAACACCAACTTTAAGAAATTGATGCAGTGCAAAGAAAAATTAATGATTTTTCATCTTAAGTATGTAAACTGCATTCCAATCCTGACATGACTGATGTAATGCAGGAAACTGTATCCCAGATGAATGTCAAAGTTAAAGACTGGCATGCTGAGCAAGGAAGGTTCTTATTCTTTGCAAGAGCTCCTTCTTTACACTATCTGGTACCAAAGCTGAAAACACAAATAAGAAAGCAAGAAGTAAAAAAAGACAGAAAGTATGCTAAAACCATACTTTTACAACAGCCATTTCTATTCTTTTTGTTTATTATTATTATTCTATTGTTCTTGCAATCCTGTTAATACCTAAAGTAACTGAAACAAGTTGATTTTCATTTACCCCATCTATATTTTTCCCATATAAAATAGGCTAAAATTGGGATCTCTTGAGAACAATGTTGTTACTGGTCAGTTTTTTTGCCTATTCATAGTCCAGAAAATTGCAAAGTTTGAGAAAAATTATTATTTAACAGGAAACAGGATATAATCACCAGAACAAGTGTGATTATCCTACTTTTTTCTTCACAAATTTAAGACAAAAAAAAAAAATCTCAAATCTGGTCTCTGAGTAAGGGTCTTCAGCAAGCTATTTTGAAGGCTTATTTTTATTTAGAACTTAATGAAGTTTCTACCACTAACATCAAACCCTGCTAGAGAGCCTAGAGGAACAATATAGAGAGGACTTCAGTTTCCTTAAGTGATTTCATTTTTTTGTATCTGTATGCTATGTTCTTTACTCTTCCCATTCCCATTACACTTGAACTGTTAGTTCTGATTTTCCATCTTAAAATATCTGGAATTTTAAAACATCTGTGTTGCATACACAACTCAGGACCACTAAGTCAATTATAAAAATGAATATAGACATAACTAAATAATCTGCAAAAGTAATCTAAAGGCTGCTTCACAATACAAATTCACATGTTTCATTGGTAGTTAATATTAAGCTATTAACATTTCATTTGTCATTAATATCAAGCTATTAGCATTTTTCCTTGAATCAAACACAGGCAAGCTCATGATGCTGCTTTCAAAATACTAATTAAATAGAGGTAGGCATGTTTATTGATGTACTACTCCATCCACTTTTGCATTTTCTTACCTCTGCCTTTGGGAGTGATTTCTGCCACCAAATCATCAACAGTAACATGCTCTAGTCCTTTTTCTTTAATGACATCTGGGGAAGACCAAGACCGATACTTTGAATCCTTTAATCCATTCATAAAATGTCAGAACCTGGCTGATGATTAAACAAAACCTACCTACGTAGTTATGGGAGAATACAAAGTAGCATGGGACCTAAATATGGGTTACTAGCTCAGTACCTACTGCATTGAACAGTGAATTTTAGTCTTTCACTCATGCCATAGGTTTAAGGATGGGAACTTGTCACTGCTGATCATCTTGATCAGCTCATATTTTAAAAACAAACATTAAATTGTTTTATCTCATCTGAGCATTACTAAATGTGCCTGTTACTGGAGTGTTGGAGCAGTTCACAAGTTGGCTTACTTATCTCTTAAAACACATTATTTACACAGCAGTAAGAAAGATGCAACTGGAAAAACACTTAGGAAGATCATAGATAGTAAATCCTTATTATTCTTCCAACTGGTTTAAACAAGATTTCTGTACATATTTCAGCCAAGTCAAAAGCATATCAGAGAGAGAGAGGAATAAATCTATAGCAAAATAAAGGCTATCATTAATACACATCAGTATGTTTCATCAGTATGAAACAGCTATTTAGACTTATAGTGCCTTTCACACTACTGAAAAATACAGAAATCAAAGCTGAAAAGGAATTTCAATTCAGTGGCATGTTAAAGCATAAATGTCAAGTTGCCAGGGATGCATTCTTCTTGCCCATGTCTTATTTAAACCGTCAGTAAAACCTTCATCTGAGACTTTTATTTGGCCAGAATCTCAGTTGACTACAAAGGAAATTAATAAATTGACCACTGTTACCTTTGCAATGTGCCTTCAACTGATCCTTCCAGCCACATTCAATTAATTTGGCTCTCAGCAACTCTTTAAGGCTGTTAAAACAATACAAAACTTGTTAGAACAGCAAACATTTCTGGAGCTTAAATATGCTCCAGTTTCAAAGTCAGGCCTACAATTACTACCCAAGAGCTCTCCAGGCAGCAGCAGAAATGGCTGAAGAGCAGGTGAATCCAAACCCAAATGAGTTCCAATTTCAGGTTACCATGTTGGACTATGAGGATTTGGTGCCTCTGGAGCTAACTCACAGAACTGCTTCAGGCAATGCTGATGCTGCAGCCAGGGAGAAGCCCTTGAATTACTCAACCTGACTCAGTCTACTCTGGTAGCAGATGTATGCAAACTTTCAAAGCTGGGAATATTTCCCCTGATACCACGTCTTTAAAATAAGTAAAACCTTCTCCCTCACCTTTCAAGAAGAGTTCTGCACTACTCAACTGCTGGTTTATCTCAGCAGTTACACATTACCTTGTTCTGGGTGAAAATGAAAGATCCTATATCCTAATCTTCCTAAGCATGGTTAACTATGTAAGCTTAAGCAACAAGGATTCAGACATAAATGGAAAAGACACAACAATCTGCCACAATGAAGCATCTACTCATATATCAAAATTGAATATTGAAAGTTAGCTAAAAATTGAAAATTAGTACTAAAAAAAAAGAAGGGAAAATTAAAGTAAGATATGATAAGTAACTTTAATATCTTTTACCCTTTTCTCCATTAGCTAGGAAGCCTGCTTATCTTGTACTATCCTAAACAACTCTAGCAAAACCCTGTGTTTATGAATGAAAGGATTGTAGCAAGAGACTGAACCGTGTAGGTCTAATCCCTTTTACTCAGTGAATTCTGTAGAGGGCAGATGAACTGATGACAAAAAGCAGAGTAAAAATACAGGTAAAATTTGCTGTCTGTGGATATTTTTCAGTTCAAGAAATCCAAGCTCTGCCTCTGATCATGGTACAGCTCTGATACAGTCTGCTTATAAGACAACTTTTGATGTCCTGATAAAACCCTTACTATTCTTATATTAGCATAAAATAGATCTCAATACCATTTCAAGAAATTGCTTGCTTTTCTCTAGTTCTGTGCAATCTTCAAGGGGATGGTCACAACCAGGAAAGATGTAGAGCACAGACACCAGGTCAGGCTACAAAAGGTTACACCAGGCACAAGGCTATGCCATGACCCAGGAAAAAATTTATTCTCATACAGGCCTTTAAAAATGAAGGAAACAGAACTTTTGGTGCATGGCGTTGCAAGCACAGTGAAGCAATGAGTGTCATAAACACTCTAGTGAAATGTAAATAAAAATAGACTGAAGAGACAACAATGGGCCAAACAAATTATACAATTTACTTGTTTGCCTTGAGTGGGATCTCTACAATGACTTGCACAAGTGCTGCTTTATGCATTCTGTATTCCACAACATATTGCTTTACATAACAAGAGAAAAGCTAGAAATACAAGTAAAACTTAAAAGCAAAAAGTAAAGTTTTGTTTCCTTCTCTTTGTCAGGAAACAACAAGATTTAACTGCAGCAAATTGAATGAAATGATGATTCTTACATGAATATAGGGGATTCCAACACAAAATACCTGTGTAAGAGAAAGCTTGAGAGTTCATAAGCCAATTATCCCATCCTTATTTCCCCACTATCTCTTTTCAATTGGAAAACTAAAATAAAACTGTTCAAAAGGCATTTTTTAAATTACTTTATATGACACTCCAGACTTCCATGTGCAAGCATTTAAAGAATTTAAAACTAAGTTTACTTTATGGAGTTTACGGTACTTCTAGGTATAGTGCAGTCTGATGTATTTAAAGCCTCTCACGGCATGGAGTAGGAAGTCAACTTACCGTTCTCGCTCTCCTGTTTCTATTAGCTTTTGGTTAATGGTTGCTCTCATCTGCGCATCTTTATTCATTTTGGAAATCTGGGTTTTCCACAAACCTACACAGAGCAAAGCAGAGTTTTGACAAATGCTGGTGTCATTCACTGAACAAAAAAAAAGTGACCAGAACAGAATGAATGACATGAGTGTTCTGTCCACTGACACATCCCCGCGGCTAATGACCGGAGCACCGGCGTGTGACCGGCTCAGGGGTGAGCTCGGCACGGCACCCACCCGGCTGCCCGGGCCCCGGCAGCTCACCGGGCCCCGGCAGCTCACCGGGCCCCGGCAGCTCACCGGGCCCCGGCAGCTCACCGGGCCGCCGCGGGCACGGCCCACCCTCTCCGCAGCCCGGCCCTCCCGCCCGGCAGTCCCGGCGCTCGGCCCGCCCAGCGGCGCCGCGGACTGAGGAGCGGCGCGGGGGAGGCTCGGCCCGTTTCGCTCCCGGCTCCCGGTTCACCTCCCGGCTCCCGGTTGGCTCCCAGCTCCCGGCTCGCTCCCGGCTCGCTCCCGGCTCACCCCCGCCGCAGCGCCGCCGGTCCGTGCAGCAGAGGCGGAGCCGCCGGCAGGACGCGCCGCGCGCCACCACCCTCAGCCCTCCTGGGCGCGGGTACCGCCGGGAAATGCAGTCCGGGCTCGACGACTACAGCTCCCGGCGCGCCCCGGGCGTGCGGCCGCCTCCTGGCCCGGACTACGGCTCCCAGCATGCACTCCGGCGGCCGGGCTCCCGCGCGCCCTCCTCCCGTGGTGCTCCGCGTTCCCCGCCGCGTTCCCCGCGGGCCCGCGGAGTTGGCGGCGCTGCCCGGAGTTGTCCCGGGGCCGCGGGATGGCGGGCGCCGCCCACTGCTCGCTGCAGGCCAAGCGCCTGCTGCTGGACCCCAAGTTCGAGGGGTACAAGCTGTCGCTGGAGCCGCTGGCCTGCTACCAGCTGGGGCTGGACGCGGGTGAGGAGAGGGCGCGGCGCGGGGCTGATCCCGTGGGCATCCTCGGGCAGCGCGGGGACGGATCCCGCCGCGCTCCCTGCGGCGGCCCGAGGTGCAGGAGGCCCCGAGCTGGGGCAGCCCGGCCCGCAGCAGCCGGAGCCCGAGCGCTCCGTGCCGGCTCTCCCCGGTGTAATTGCTGCGGCTGGCCCGGGCCGGCCGGCGGCCTCCCCGCCTGGCGGCTCCGCGGTGCACCGAGGGGTCTGCCTTGTCACCCCTCTGCCTGAGCCTGCTCCTGCTGCGCTTAGCTCCTAAACGAGTACGGAAACCTGTCCTAAATCTGCTCTTGCGTGTACAGGCGAGGTGAGGCCAGATGACCGGCTGAGGTAGTTCACAGCGGAGCGTGACGGAGCACATGCGTTTTAGACAAATCCGTATGAAATTCACGTCTTGTACAAACTTCAGCAAATTAGCTGTTTTTCTTTCTTACTCTGCCCAGAGTTCAGAGGTGGATCTTCATGCCATGCATTCCATGCCCTGCTTTCTCTGCCAAGCATCATTAGTATTTGAGATGCTGGTCCATTAACAGGCTAATTCACTGAGGAGTACATTAGCATAAAGTCCTGTTGGGTATGTGCCTACAGTCTTACCCATGCCCTGAAATATCTCAGCAATCTGCATTTACTGATTTGAGAAATTCAGGTCTTTTTGCAAGGTGGATAAATTAGTTTGGTTTTCTTTGTAAAGCTGAGACACAATTTGTGTGGACTAATCTATATCTCTATATATTTACAAAATAATATACCTGTCTACAGAATGACCTATTACAAGCTACTTTAGTTTTGTGTAGAACATATTGTATTTGTAGTAGATCAGAAAGGTATGTTTGCCATGCTGAGTTGTCAGCAGTAGGAAGTTTTTAGATAAATTTCATATTGACGGTTAAGTGAATGAGACTGTGAGTGCATATATGGTAGGACTGGAAAATTTAACAAGAGTAATATTTTTACTGTAAGACTGCTGTAATGGTCAGCTTTCAAAAGACAGCCAAAAAGCAGGTGAGTGTGCTGCAGTTGTGTCAGATAGCAGCAGTGTAGCATTGGTGCACTCCCTGAGTTTGTCTCTTATTTGCTGTTCTGCCTATGGTCAAGCAACCGTTGTGGTTCTTGGATAGTCAGTTGCACCTGTTCTAAATAGGTGAGGGTTACAAATCTTCATGAAAATACATGAACAATGGAGTTGCTAATGGAGAGATGGATCTACTCGGTTCTTGTCTGTACAGATATTTTATAGAGGATTGATATGTGTGACTGTGTTATTTTCTTTTCCCACTTCCCACAGCACAAGACCTTGACTTGTTTCTGTCAAACTTACTGAACTGTGCTACAGAGTCACTAATGCTAACTTATACTTCCTGTTCTGTGTGTGCATATATAGATATAGATACTGGTCTTCTAAAGAGTGGTAAGCTTTCATTGTTGTTCTTGTGTTTTGGAATTAGTAACAGGAAATGTATCAGGCCTTGTATCTGTGTTCCAGGTGTTTTGATTGCAGCTTGCTCTTCGGCAATACAGCTGTCTCTTTCTCCTTTCTGATTTTCTTTTGTGTCCTTCAAGGCAGTTAACTCACAGTGCAGAGGTGTTCTGTACCTGACTTTTGTATTTCCTAGTGCCAGTGGTCTATACATATGTTAGATTTAGGGTATCCTTCCAAAATTTGATTTTTGTGTTGTGCAGGAGTAATGGGTTGAGTTGTAGAGACTGTGGGCGGTAGTGAATGTGTAGGCTGTGGCTTTTTCAAAATACTGTGTGGGAGAAGAGACCAGTATTGTGTGGGAAGGCCAAGAACTTCTGCTTTCCAGCACACTTGTGTGCAGATTCAAAGCTTCTAGAACATGATAGTTGGTAGTTTTTGGATTATTAACTAAATATTTGCCACTGTGTGAAGAATTTGATTTAATTTCCTCAAAGTGGGACTGAGTGCAATAGCTAAAAAAAAGTCAAATGTTTAGGAACACTGTCAGTACAAGTATTTCTGATTTTATTCACAACTGTTTGCAAGAAATAACACAGTAGAATCTGGAAGATTAATATAAAAAGGCTCATAAAGTTCATAAGCCAATTATCCCATCCTTTATTTCCCCACTATCTCTTTTCAATTGGAAAACTAAAATAAAACTGTTCAAAAGGCATTTTTTAAGCTACTTTATATAACACTCCAGACTTACATGTGCAAGCATTTAAAACTAAGTTTACTTTATGGACTTTACTGTACTTCTAGGTGTAGTGCAGTCTTGATGTATTTAAAGCCTCTCACGGCATGGAGTAGGAAGTCAACTTACCGTTCTCGCTCTCCTGTTTCTATTAGCTTTTGGTTAATGGTTGCTCTCATCTGCACATGTTTATTCATTTTGGAAATCTGGGTTTTCCACAAACCTACACAGAGCAAAGCAGAGTTTCGACAAATGCTGGTGTCATTCACTGAACAAAAGAAAGTGACCAAAACAGAATGACATTTTTTGTTTGTTTGTTTTACGGAAAAAGATTGAATGAGTGTTTGTCTCAAACGACCTGAGATTTGTAGTTCTGCCTGTGTGGCATCCCAAATTTGGTGGCAGGGAGAAGAGGAATAATGTGAGTTTTAGAGTACTTGGAATACATAACAATAAAAATAAATAAGTGCTTGTTCTTAAGTAGAAGTGAGTTTTAATTCAGCTGTAGTTGAAGTATTTGAAGTTGAAGTTATTACAAACTTGCATAGTGGACTTGGGCGTATCAATCTTAATACTTCTATCTTTCTTTTTATATTTATCTATTTTCATGGATTTCACTGCTAGCTGTTAAATAAAATGACCAAAAAACTATCCTGTGGAATTGATGCAGTCTTCAGCCTCTGGAGCAGGTGGATAGCAGCATGTGGTGCATGTCATGTTCCTGAGGACTACAGTGAGCTTCATTTTCTGACCATCATGAAAAACTTAGTGTTCAGTTCTAATATGCCTTCAGCTGGTTGACTGTGGTTGTCAGGAATTTGCTGTGGTCAGATGTGCAGCTGACAAAGAAATACATTTTAAGAAACAATTTATTTATTAGATCTGTGATAGAAGGTGATTCTGTAGTAAATTTCTTAAAATGTATGGTCTCAGTGAAGAAGATTGGGGGAAGTAAGATACCTTCCCTTCTCATTTGAATACTATGATTTGCATGTTTTTCTTTTATTTCTTCCTTATTCCATCCCAGTCTGACCTAGTTAATGCTAAACTGTCACTTGTTTTCTCATCTCTCCTCCTGGTAATATATTTCAACTAGTAATGAGTCCTGTATTATGCTTTTAATTCCTAGCTCTTCACTGTAAATTTTGTCTGTCTCCTCACCTTTTAAAGATTACTTCCATACCTTATTTTCAAATGTTTCGTTTGCATTGAGTTTTGGAAAGCCTTATTTTTTAGGTCACTGAACGTTTAGGAGGTACAAATGGTTATCTCTTCTGCTCTAATCCGAGCTCAGCAGAGTCCAAAGCAGAGATTGTGGGACAAATGCTTTTCTCCAGCAAGGAACATGTCCAAGTTGCACAACATTTTTAAAGGATCGAGGCCTTTGCTGTTTACTGGTTAGATGCCTCATAATTCCTTTTCCTTTCAAGAGTCTTGGAATTTATTCAGATGTGGATATCCCTGATCCCCTTCCTCTCTATCTTGTCTGTTTGGCAGGACCACTGTACCTCTAATGTAGTAGTGGATGCTTTTCAGTATCGCTTCAGCTGGAAGGCAGAGTAAGCATTGGCTCAGAGATTGAGCTGCTGATGTAGGCCAGTAGCATATAGGGAGAATATGTTCCTTTGATCACAAAGTGCATTTGTCAGTTTTGTCCCCTTTTTTGAAATAGGTTGTAATTCATGCTGCTTAGAAGGCCTGCTTCAGTGAAAAGTTGCCCATTAGTAGTGCTACATGGAAAACATATTTGTGACTTTTCATGGAGCAAAAGGCACTGGTATGTTTCAAACATTTACAGAGATTTTCATTTGCATTTTACATTTGCATTTGAAAAATTAAATATGAAAAAGAGTGTTTAAAGTAATGTATGGGAAATAGGAAATGGTGAGCTTTTTGACACATTTGCAGCTGTAATTCATAGAAGTTTAGGTCTCAGGCACATATTTACTCAACAACAACGAGATGCTGCCTTTAACAATAAAGGTACATAAAAACATTGTTTTTATAACTAAAAGAAAAAGTGTTAATGCAGGGTTAGAAGGATCTTTGAATACTGATACTAGAAAATAAATTATCTCTTCCACTAATAGACCAGTGTGTCTGCAATACAAAATTGCTTCCACTGGGTGGCAGTGCAAAATAAAGCATGGCATACAAGCATATATTTGATGCCACAAAATATGGTGGTATAATTACTTTGCACGTTTTGCAGTTTTGTAAAGTTGCTTTGCTGTATTCAGGAAAACATCTAAAAATGGAGGGTCTGTTTGGTTGTTCTTCATCCTTTTTTTCTCCGTGTTTCTTTTTTTTTCATCCCAGTTCTGCTTCATAGTGTTTGGTGGCAGATGTAAGACCTCTCTATTCATTTAAAGTATAGGTTCCTTGAAGGTGTTCTTTATTCAGAGAAGAATTTTTTTTTTTTTTTTTTTTTTTTTTACATTGCAGACTAATAATTATAATAAGATCTAACTAGGGATCTTATAGTAACAGTTAGGTTAGGGATAGGTTACTTCTTCTGTTGGTTCTCATGAATTGCTTTGTTATTAGTGCTTTTGCATTTAAGTAAAGCATTGTGAGTGCAAAGCTTTATGTTTAAACTAATTTGAGTCCAATTATTCTTTCAAAGCATGGAACTAGTAGAGATAAATACATTTCTAGAAGATAGCATAGTTTTCTTTATACTGGTCCAAAATATCCCATGCAACTAGGGTGTTGGGAAATAACATTAAAGCTGAGATTTAGTTTATACATTCTGTATACTTACTTTCTTTTCTGGTATGAATAGCAGTGTATGAATCAATGTTCCTGGGTTATCACGGTGCAGGTGTGTTTATCAGAAATTTGAAAGAGACCATGTTCTGTTAAATAGCTGGCATTGACTGCTGCTTCTTAATTGAACCCAAACAGACTAGTGAATCCATTGAGACTGGTGCATTAGTCTGACTCTTAGAAATCACATAAAACAAAAAAACAAAAAAAAAAAAAACAAACCAAAAACCCAGGAAAAAAATTTAAAACCTTAATACAAACCCTAAAACAAACCCAAACCAAACAACAACAAATCAGAAAAAAATCCTGATAGAGCAACCAAATTACAACTCATAAAACTGTGTAACTGTGAGATTGAATAAGGTGATGATCTGATCGAAGTATTTCTTCTTTTCCATTTATATTAACTTACCTTTCTCTGAATTTACTTTATTAAAAGTCTCCATTTCTTTTCTCTTTTCTCCTTTACTTTTTTGCACTCAGCTCTATTGGTTTTCTCTTTCTTTTGAAGGACCATCAAGAAACCTTGAATCTTGAAGGCTGTAGAAAGGAAGGAATGAATTTCACCCTAGTGTAGAATTTTCTATAAACTGTGTTAAGTACATGGTATGTGATAGCAAATTGTAGTTGTGTACAGATTTTACTTGGTCACAGTATGGGTTTCAATTAATGGAAAATGGAATAGGTTCTTTAATTGCTTCATCTTGGCAGAGCTACACATGTGTATGATACGTTCTGAAAGCAGTTGGCTACCTCATTTGAAGGGTTTGGTGACAAGACAGGACACATTTGTCAGATTTCCTAGCTTAAAATCACCAATGTTTTATACAGTTTCTGACTTATGTTTATGTGGAATTAATTACATGTTGCAATAATACAAGGGATTTGGATTTCCTATTCCTGACCCCCTTTATTATTCAGGGCTTATCAGAAATACAGTCTAGAAAACTCAAGGACAGAGGGCTCATATTCTTCCAGATTTTATAAAGTTTATCACCTTACAATCTGCTAATCAATAACTTATTGTTCCAATAATCTTCATGAAAAATTGTACATTTACTTCAGGAATCATCTAGTTTGTAGTATCAAGACTGTTTAGTTACAGTTCTGACAGGAGTAACATAACTAGGGGAATGGGGAGGGAGAAGTGGAGAAAGGAAGCCTTACCATTTGAAGGGTTTTGTGCTAAAAAATCTTTACATGTTTTTACATGTATATTCTAATTTCATAGGATCAGCTATACAGGAAGTAGACGATATGTACTTGGTTTCACTGAAAAGAAATATCCTAGATTATATTTGGTTTGGTCTTTAATTGTTTACAAACATTCATATCATTTCTTGTTGTGTTGGGGAAGATATCTCTGTGATAAAGCTCAGTTACACAAACAGCTTTAAAATGCATTTTCGCAATATATTCTTCTTTTTTTACAGTGTAATTTAGAGTAAAATATTCTAACTAATTAAAGTAGGAGTTGGAATGAATAGCAGTCCCTGCTATTAAGGCAGGTGTATTTTCTTCTCAATCCTTTGTTGATATTCTAGCTTGTTTTGACGAACCATAGCTTGTGGAACAGTAATTTATTAATTGCAGAGGTACGGAAATCCCTCCTGTGTGGTGAATATGAATAATGATTTGATCTGATCTGGGTGGAATTAAAACTGATGTTTTGCAAATATCAACAGTGATTAGGAGACTAATTGCTAATTATGCTGGCATTTTGCAAGCATTTTGTATAGTATGATTGGATTTTTTTATTAATCAGGCAGTATAATCTTGCATAGTTTCCTAAAGCCACTGCTATGTTAATAGCCAGTGTCTCTAATGGGGCCTGTTCAGAACCGTATAGGGATGGTCTGGTTGGTGAGTTTGTGATAGCTGTCCAATGGCACTGATGGCACTGCCAAATGAGCTGCTCTTCGCAGGAATTGGTGTTCTGCCACAGTAAACTACTTGTGCTGCAGTAGGGTTTAAGTAGATGCTAAAGAAAAGTAAGAAGTCTGAATGCTGCTGCAGAGAGTTGTGAATGGTCCCTGTTAGGGGGTGGGCTGGAAGTGAAATACTGGAAGTAGATTTGCTCTGTTTCTGTGCAGAAAAGGGAAAAAAGTAGAAGTTGAAAGATTAGGAGCTACAATAACTGTGAACTGCTTCTATGAGCAGGATTAGCCTGAAGTGCTTTCCCCATGCTCTGGGCTTGAGCACTAATCATCATGGACTGACAGAGTTTAGTGTAACTTTCTATAGGATTTTTCTTGTGTGAAGTTCAAGGTAAGTTCCCTGCAGGAAAGCTAAGAATCCTGGATTGACTGTATTGGAGAATGAAATGGAGTTCTGGTCTATCTTAGATTATTTACAGAACAATAGACTAGACCTCTGCTAATGTATTTTGAGATGTTTGGACTACAGCTGCTTCATCTCTGTATAGATATGGAATAGGAGGAAAAAAGCTGCATGTAATCTAAATAAAATCCTGGTTAGTCTTTGGCAGATAATCCAGTTCTGATTACTGGTAGTTGAGTAGATGTCTTCTGTTAAGAAAAATCTTGCTCAAGTGAATTACTGTAGGTAGCATGCTTCTTGCCTTGAAGAAGGTAGTATTCTAGTGAACAGCCATTCTTCGCAGCCTTTTTCAGTTAGAAAAACTTAGTCTGAAATTTTGATTTTATCTTGGACATTCTAGAAATTTGAACCTCAGGGTGCTACTTTGTTTTGTGCTTTTGGTGTTGTGTTTTTTTTTTTTTTTTTTTTTTTTTTTTTTTTTTTTTTTTTTTTTTTTTTTTTTTTTTTTTTTTTTTTTTTTTTTTTTTTTTTTTTTNTTTTTTTTTTTTTTTTTTTTTTTTTTTTTTTTTTTTTTTTTTTTTTTTTTTTTTTTTTTTTTTTTTTTGTAATTACTGTGAACTAAGTCTGCTTTGTACAGTTTTAATCTTTTGCCTTGCAAGTGTTAGTAGAGTAGTTCAGAATTTAAGACCATTAAATCCATGTGGTTTTATGTAATATTTCTTTTGGCTGCTGTTTTGCTAGAGTAACTATAGAGCAGACTTTTTTTCCCTTACTGTAATACAAAGTAGGTTTGACATTGTTGTTGCATGAGTGTAGAGGTGTGTTTCATCCTGTGAGGGTTATTGATAAATTGGACCTCAACACATGCTGGTGAGAGACAGGGTGGAGGTACTGGGTTTGCATGGCAAGGTTTTGGTACAGGGGGGCTACAAGGGATGGCTTCTGGGAGAAGCTGCTAGAAGCTTCCCCCACGTCTGACAGAGCCAATCCCAGCCGGCTCCGAGATGGACTCGACACTGGCCAAGGTGGAGCCCATCAGCCATGGTGGTAGCATGGAAAAGTACTTGGAAAAGTATAGAAAGTTGCTGCACAAGAACTGCAGCCAGAGAGAGGAGTGAGGATGTGTGAGAGAAACCACTCTGCAGGCACCATGGTCAGTGACGCAGAAGTGGAAGGAGGTGCTCTGGGTGCCAGAGCAGAGTCCCCTCAGCCTGTGGTGAAGACCACAGTGAGACAGGTTGTTCCCCTGCAGCCCATGCAGGCCCACAGCAGAGCAGAGATCTGCCTGCAGCTTGAGGAGGACCCCATGGCTGGAGCACGTGGATGCGTCTGACTGAGGCTGTGATGGCATGGAAAATACATGCTGGAGCAGGCTCCAGTAGGACCTGTGATCTCATGGGGAGAGGAGTCCACACCGCAGCAGATTTGGTGGCAGGACTTGTGACCCCACTGGGTACCCATGCTGGTGTAGTCTTTCCTGAAGGACTGTGACCTGTGGAAGGGAGCCACTCTAGAGCAGTTTGTGAAGAATGCAGCCTGTGGAAACAACTCACTTTAGAGATGTTTGTGAAGGGTTGTCTCCTGTGGCAAGGACTCCATCCTGGAGCAGGAGAAGAGAACGAGGAGGAAGGAGAAGCAGAGAGGTGTGAACTGACCTCAACCTCCATTCCCTATCTCCTGTGCCACTGGAGAGGGGAGGAAGGAGTGACCAGTGGGAGTGAAGTTGAGCCTGGGAAGAAGGGAGGGTTGGGAAGGGAATGTGTTTTAAGATCTGTTTTTATTTCTCATTACCCTAGTCTGATTAGAAGTAAATTAAAGTAATTTCCCCAGATTGAGTCTGTTTTGCCTGTGACAGTAATACGTGAGTGATCTCCCCTTGTGCTCATCCTCCTCATGAGCCTCATGTTTTCTCTCCCCTGTCCAGCTAAGGAGGGAAGTGATAGAGTAGCTTTAGTGGACATCTGGCATCCAGCCAGGGCAAACCCACCACAATAGGCCGCTGTAAATGGTAATGAGATAATCAAAGCAAATTACTGCATTGGCTTTCAGGGTGGATGACTTGCTTTCCAAGTTTATGGTGAAATTTTAAACTACGTATACATAATGTATTTTTCTTCAAATAAAGCAAAACTATGAAATGAAAATGGAAGAATTCTTTTTAAATTATTAGTTTGAATTGTAAATTACTAAGTTGTAAATAAATAATTGTTAAAATAGTCTTTTTCTCTTCCCTCCAGCTGTAGCAGAAGTGCAGCTTCGTGATGATCAATATACCCTTGACCACATGCGTGCTTTTGGCATGTATAATTATCTTCACCTTGATTCCTGGTACCAGGATAATGTCTACTATGTTGATCAGTTTGGAAGGGTTATGAACCTATCAGTGACTCTGGTAAGAATAAAATCTGTTTTTAAACCACTGAATTGGAAAATATGGGAGCAGATGAGATACAAAATATTGCAAGTAAGATCAAAATGCAGAAATTGGGGGAAGCTATTGTCAGGAAGATAAGTGGAAGATATTTCAATAAAAATGCATTTCACCAGGAAGAATAAAAATATTTTAAGTGAAGTTTCTGACTTCCTTGTGTTAATACTATTGCATTAGTGTTGCTGCAGCCTGTGTTGCAATAGCCCTGTCCGCTGCTTAAGGAGACAGCAGCACTCAGGAGTGGAAGATGCTTATGGCCAAAAGGAATAACGAAAGCCAGAGAGTTCACAAAAGCTTACAGAGTTTTGTAGTGAGTTTCACATTTGGTATGGAAATTGAAATGTTAGTCCCTGACCCCTTACTACAAGCACAGAGCAGTGGGCTGATGGGATGTTCAGGGTCCAGGAGGTGCTGCCTGGGCTTGGTCGTGGGGTACCTGCTTATGGGTTATTTTCTACACTTGGAAAATAGACGAGCCACTTTCTATACAGGTTAGTTATCATGTAAAGTTTTTTCTTTCAGTCCCTTCTGGAAATAGGTTGGAGGGCTTAGGGGGTCTCTGGTGATATTACCTTCTTCCTGCAGTCCCTGTCCACATCCACTTCTCCACATTGTTCCTGCATGCTTGCTGTACAGTGCTGTGCTTATCTCTAGGAGCCAGAACAAGGACATTTATCCCAGAAAAGTGATGTCCTACCTCTGTGTGGCCCCTGTCTCCAGCCACATCCTGTTCTTTCTCACAGTGTGTATTGCTGACAAACCTTGATTGAGTCCACAGCCTATGGCTATCACTGCTGGACACATCACCTTAGCTCTTTTCTTTTAGGCTTGTACATAGAGTTACATCTGTTTCCATTCTGGGCAAGATGGACATGACAAGCTGAAGGATAGGGAAGATGTTTTTTTTCTAGTTGCTTTTCTCTTTCTCCCTGACATTACTTGATATTTGTTTGTTAGCTTGAAAACCCAGTTATTATATGTATGTTAGAATTAGAAATGCTTAATCTAGACATAATTTGTTGGAGGTAAAAAGATGCTGGTGGCTGTGAGGGAAGTTAAAATATTGTAAGCAAGCTAGACCAAGTCTGAAATTTCTGCTTTTATACTGGTGGTCCTAAGTAATCAAACTGTATTTCTTTTAAGCAATTTTAATGCATGGATGCTTTTATTTCCTTTACAAAACTATACTTCATTTCAGAGAGGGGAGGACATGGTTCTATGGACACCATGTTTCTGGCACATACAGTTGTAGTGCTTGGGCATTAAGAAACAAGTGACTGTATGGAAAGGAAAGTACACATTGTCATACTGCCAGAGTTTGACTTGTAACCCTGTCAGACAAAAGAAAACACAGGGCTATGTGTGGGTTTTTGAGAGCATGTGGCTTAGCCTGTGCAAGGTTCTGGGGACAGAAATTACTAGGTCAGGACTAAACTAAGAGAAATTCTGCAACTATAGTTTTAGATTTTCAGGAAATAAAGGTTTCCAGAGGATGGTAGGGTGAGAACTGAAGCTGCAAGATATTCCTTTGCTTTTCACAGTATATAGCAGCTGGAGACTTTGGCAGACTCTTACTGTGACAAAATAATCTTCTAGGACTCCTTCCAAAACTTTTGACATGATCTGGATTCCTAGTAGAAACATCTAAAAGAAAGCCTTCTCTTACCAGTGGCTTGTCATAATCTCATTTTTTGTTTTATCCTTTTATCCCTGACTTGCTGCTGGAAGCCCACCCAAATACTCTCTCACGCTCCCTATTCAACAAGATGGTGAGAAAAAAAGAGAGAAAAGCTTGTGAATGAGCATAAAACCAGGGAGATCACTTACCAATTACCACGAAAGCAGACTTGAGCTTGGGGAAAATTATTTAATTTATTGTCAATTAGTACTAGTGTAGGCTGGCAAGAAAGAAGGTCACACAAAGCTTGTACCAGGAACAAGCTCCATTGTTCAGAAACTTGTACTTGCTCCACTGTGTACTTTTTCATGGACAATAGTGTAGATATCTGTTCTCTGTGGGTTTTAGGAGGACAGCCTGCTTTTCCATGGTCTGCTCCAAGGGCTGCAGGCAAACCTCTGTTCCACACCACTGGCTTAGCTGACAAGCTCAGCTATCTCCAATGGAGAGTCCAGTGGAGCCAGCTGGAAGTGGAATGTGCACTGGGCAGCCCTGGCCCTTCCTCACTGAGGCCACCCCTGCAGGTCTCCTCTGCCTGCACAACACAGACACCCAATACATTCCTTCATTAGAAGGGCACTACCTGTTTAAATTTATTTCTTAGCAGATAAAAGATTTTACAACAGCCTATAAATTGACCTTAAAATTATTCTTCCCTAGGACCTATTTCGTGATAATGGCATTTGATTAATATCTGGTCACAAGTTTTGGTTCCACCTGAAGGGGGAAATAAAACTGATTAAACTGTGAAATAAATAGGCACCATCTTCTGTCCTAATATACGATACTGTGCTGTTTTGCAAAGGAAACATGTTTGCATATGAATAAAAAGGAATGTGTGTTCAGAAACGTCAACAAGGTGTCTCATTACAAATGTGCCCAGCCATATATTAGTCAAATGTATATTAAAAATAGCATTGGTTTTGGCCAAGTACAGCTTACAATTAAAATTAATGTCAGTCTTCTTTAAAACAGAAGATGAAACAGGGTAATGTGTTCATCCTAAAATCAGAGTGAAAGAACACATAGGCTTTCTAACATCATTATTTCTGGTTTTATTTCTTATTTTGGTTGTAGCTTTGGTTCTAATATGACAGTGTGTTGGCTATCCGTATATCATGAATTATCCCTGCAACTTAGATGTTTAAACAGATGTCATCTGTGAAGGAAAAGAAGTGCACATAACATCATGCACTTAAAATCACACAAAATTGAAAAAAGAGAAGTGATCAACAGAAGCAGTTCTTCTGTATTGATGGATGAGTAGTATTTAGGTGGGTTTTTATACCAGCTTGAGGAAATTGTTACCCTTACTTGGCTGGAAATGCTGTATAATAGGTTTAACCTTCTCCTGTTACAGCTGTTGGACTTTTTTCATTCGGTATGCCAGCAGCAATCAATACTTTGCTTTAAACACCCAGTGGGCAGGGTAGTGATGGGATTACTGATTTGAGATTTTTTAATTGGTCATGTTTTTATGCATCTGACTCAACTTTTTTGATTGGTGTTTGCAGCATTCATATATAGCTGCAGAACATTCAAAGTTTTCTCCTTTAGCAGCTGGACTTGGTTTCTTGACCTTAAGCTCTTCTTGCAAAGACAACTTGGTTTCTTTTTATGCTCAGATAATCAAATTGAAAAATTGTGGCAATAGGAACTCATCTCACACTTAATCAAAATCCTTAATGGCATAATCTTTTCATCTCTTTAATTTCCAATAAGAATTAGCTATGGAATACTGTTTCTGTAATTTTCAGTTAATTTCAGTTCAGAACAACTGTTAGTGGCACCAGACACAATGTGGAAATTCTGCTTGAAACAAGACAGGATAAGAAAGCAAATAGAGAACAACAAAATCTTTCATTGTTGTGTTTCAGAGTGTTAAATACTTGTCTCTTTGTTATTCAGAATGCTGGGTAAGGACATTTTTTTCAATTAAAGAGATGTGTCAAATGCCTAGGTATTTTGATTTTTCATAAAAACTTTGTCTTGTATTTGTTACTTCTACTTTGTGGGAATTGCCACATGACTTAAAACTTCTCTTTTTCCCTTTCTTTTTTATTCCTTTATTCCTTACTTATTCCCAGTTATTTCCTTGAAAAAATTAATTTTTATTTTAAATCTTTTACAAAATATCCCATATTTGTACAGTATTGTCATTTAGCCCCAGCTGACAACTAAGTACAATGCAGCTGCTTGCTCACTGCTGCTCCTCCATCCCCAGTAGGTTGGCAAGGAGACCAGAAAAGGTAAAACCCACACACTGAGGTAAGAACAGTTTAACAATTTATATAAAGCAAAATTTAATAATAAGAACAACAAAAATAATAGTTATAGTGAAAAGAGAGAGAAATAAAAAGAGAGATTAAAAAAAAAAAGGAAAAACAAGGGATGGACAATACAGTTGCTCACCAGTGCTGACTGATGCCTGAGCAGTGTCAAGTTGTTTTAGCCAGTTCTTGCTGGTATAATACATGACTACAGACTCTCACCATCCCCTCATGCTTCTAAAGCAGGGAGTTACTATGACCCCAGTTAACCACCTAGTGAACAAGGAAACAGTCAGTCAGAAAGCTAATCTGACACAAGGGGATTTGAGAGGAGGTTTTGTTTCATCTTCAGGGAAGTCCATTATTTTCATTGTCAGAATGAGATTAGAGACTGTTCTAATAAATGCCTAAAGTTAAATTAGTGAACAGAAAGGTTGTGAAGAAGATAATTTCCTTTCTTGCCTATTGAAAGAAAATTTGAAAGGTTTGTAGTAAAGATTGTTTATAATTTTTTCAGGAGATTTGAGTTCTGAAATTCCTGCTCAATGCTGATAATTCTGATGTGAGCTTTAGAAAATTAAGGAGTTGATAATTTTTTATTCTAATTGCATCCAAAACTAATTGAAGCTTATTGTTAAAATGCACTTGAAGGCTGACAAAAGTGTGGTCTTCTGTAATATTATATAGTATGTCCCTATAAGTCACTGTTAAGAAGAATGATGCTTCCTCTTTCCATGATAAGATACGCAGGATTTTGACTTTTTTTCCCTCGGGTCAGTAATCATTGCTAGTTACAATGGAGAATTTTCTACTTTGTAGGGAAAAAAAAGCCTTTCAGTGAAATGTGAAAATTAAATAAATATGAGAAAGCCAAAATTCATTGTATCTAGTGATTGTGTGATACTTTTTTGGGTTTTAGGTTTGGTTTATTTTGGGTTTTTTCATTTCAATTCTTTCATTCTCTCCTTCTGAATGTGTTATAAATTAGCAGAATAGTCCAACGGGTGTAGGTGACACAACTGACTCCAGAAACTGACTCTGAATGCTTCTAATAATTAAAAATTTGTGAATTTTCCATTGCAGGTTTCACAATCATCTTGTTGCATACAGTAATCTCTAATAGCAATTTAAGTAGGCCCAAAAGGCAGGTGGCGGGCAGACTATCTGTTTGTTATCTGGTCTTTTTTTGCTGTTGCTTATTAAAATGGTACTTACCCAAATGCAATATCTTTTGCTTACCTTTCAGGATGTGTTAAATGCACATCTGATTTTACTAACGTCTGGAAAATAGGAATGTTTTGAAATGCCCTCAAAGGCAGGGTTCTCAATAAATGAGGCTGCTGAACGCTTTACGTGCAGTGTGCTCTCTCTGTACTGCATTGACGTGCACAAGTGCAAAGGACTCTTCTGCAGATGGTCCTTTGTATGTATATTTTTGTCTGCTTTATTTCACAGGGCAGAATGAGTAAGTTTCTTTTGCTAGAAGTAGATTATTCCCCCCAAGCTACTTACTGATTATTTGAATGAAAATAGAAGGACAGAAGATGTTTAAATTATTTGTGGCTGAATATTTGAGGTCTATAATGAGACACAGTTTTAATCTTGAATGTTTTCACTGCTATTTCTTAGTCTCATGCCTTACTACATTAAGGATGGACCTGAGACTAAAAAACATTTTCTGTTAGGGAATCAAAAATTATTTGTTTCCCACCCAGGTTGTCAATACAAAAGTATGCTTCTGTTTGTGCTTCTTTTTACATGCTTGTCAATATCTTCAAAACTGTCCCTGTAACATTTTTCAAATTTGTTTTTCTATTTTTATAAATACATTTCTTTGTAAATATATTTTCATCTTAGTGACAGCAATGCTGATTTTTTAGTAATGAGGGAAAATTTTCCCTCTTGTTAAACAGAGGTTTCTGATTTGTGGACCTTCAGAAATAATTGTAGATCAACTGACTCGAAATGACCCTAGTAAAATAAAACAAAATATAGTTTCATTGGTTCTATAACATTTTTTATGTTTTCAACATTGTCTATCTGTTGTTGGATTAAGAAGATAGATTGGGTTTAAAAAGGGATGATCTCTAAAGATCAGTCAAGCACCTCTTTTTTTTCAGAAATTCAAATACCTGTAGTTACACTAGCTTGTAAAGTACCTATGAATTTATCTAACTTTACTTCATATATGATACATATATATATATATATATATATATATATATGTACATACATACATATATATATAAACACTGTAAATTAGGGGAAACAACCATAACTTCCTGTGAAATGTTTCCCCAAAGATACAGCAAAGAACAGGAATTGCTTTTCTTTGTTACTACTGAAAGACCTCTTTGAAGACAGCAGATCAGATTCTGCAGTCTATGAATCTATAAGAGGGACAAGGTGGTGAATATGGTGTAGGTTTGGAATTTTTAAATTATATTTTTTGTTTATTTTAGAATCTTAGAACAGCCCAGATGAAGGGATCTCAAAAGATTATATAGGCCAAGCTTTCATGGTGAAAGGAGCCTAGATGAGGTTATCTAGCACTCTCTCCAGTTTTGTCTCGAAAACCTGATGGAGTTTCTGCCATGTCCCTGGGGAGGTTGTTCCAGTCATTGATTTATTATCCAGTCATTGTAAAACTTCTCTTATGCCTAGATGAAACCTCTCCTAATGCAACTGTTAGCTGTTGTCCATTGTCTTCTCTTCCTGGCTGCTTGTGAAGAGAGAGCCCCTGACCTCCTTGTGGCTACCCTGGAACACTGTGGTGGTGTCTCCCCTGAATCTTCTCTAGGGAGACAAGGCCTAACCCCTTCAATATTCTCACAAAGGGGAGTTTCTCCGGTCATTTGATGGTTTTCATGGCTGTCCTTTGCACCTTTTCCAATCTCTCCATGTCTTCTTACAACATTACTCCAGGTGGGACCTGACAAGCACTGGGTAGAGTGGATGATCACATCTCATATCTCTGGCAGTGATACTCGTGCAGATGCACCCCAGGATACCATTTACCTTTGATGCTGCAGCATCGCCCTGCTGGCTCATGGCCAGCTTGTTATCCCTGTTGCCCTCACCAGGGCTTCTTCCTGCCACACGGATCCTGGCCGGTTCTGAGCTCTCTGGTTGTTCCATTCCAGGTGCTGGACCATGCTGGTCTTTGCTTATTTTCCCAGTATTCTTGCTGCCTCATTCTTCCAGGCTCTCTGGCTCTCTGTGCCACATGCTTCCCTTGAGGGTACATGTCTAACCTAGTTTAGTGTTATCAGCAAATGGGGTGAGGGTGCTTCCAATCCTGTCATCCAGGTACCTCATGAAAGATGTTCTGTGTGTGCCTGGTATCAATCCCTGGGGACCCCACTTGTGACAGACTGCCAGCCCATTTTATTTAACAGCTTCTTAGTTCAGTTGAAAAAATTCAAATTACTACGTTCTATTTCAGTTATTTAACAGATTATAGAGATGTGACTGTGATGTTGCTGAATCTCCAGTTTGCTTCTTATATTTTTCTGTGAGAATATTTTGGTTGTGCTCTTAATGCTGCAGCCTGGTCTACTTCATAAGTAGCTGAACAAGTTGTATTGCTAATAAAGCATGTCCTGATTGTTTTTTAAACTGTGACACTAAATTATTTTCAAATCATAAAGATTTTGTTAGAGTTTTCTTTTAACCTAACAAGCCTTTTGGGTTTTTGGAGATTACTTCAACAAACAAATGGAAATAAATCTTAGTCCTAAGCAGGCAGCAGCATGGCTGACATTCAATTAGCCAAATAATGAGCAGAAAGTCAGTCACAAAGCCTTATTCAGCAAAGAAAGAGCTGTATGTGAGAGTGAAGGCCAAAGATAAAGTATAATCCCTAAAAGATGTGCTGGAAGACGTGCCACTGTACTTAATGAAAACAGTTGGAAATCCAATTTTAAGCATGAAAGCAGTTTTTTTTCTGTTAGAATTATCAGGAAATTAGGAACACAACACAGAACTAAAGCAGGACTTATGGGAACAGTTACTAGAAATATAGATGAAATTGTTAATCTAACATCCATTTTGCACTGTTATTGAATCAAGCTGATTTGTACAAAATTAGAGTAGAAAATAAGTTTGTTTTTTTTTTTGTAAAATGTAATGGTATGCATAATTTTAAAAAAATGTGTATGTCTTGATTGTTTACTGTAGAATTATATAATCTGTGCATTTTTTTCACCACAGTGTCTCTGTTTATTCCTGCTCAAAAGCTATCTGTAGTTCAGCTTAAAGAAGCTTGCAGTGTGGCACTGCAATGGAATGCCATATAAAGCTATCCTGACATGTAGTAGAATCATAAAATTGTTTAGGTTGAAAAATCCTTTTAGGATCATTCAGTCCCACTAGTCACCCAGCACTGCTAAGTCCATCACTAATCTGTGTCCCTAACTGCCGTATCCACATCTTTGAAATATATCCATTGATAGTGACTGCACCTGAAATATATCCATTGATAGTGACTGCACCAACTACCCTGGGCAGCCTGTTTTATAGGTTTTCCTGTTTTCCTTCTGGTGAGGGCAGCCTGTTTTATAGCCTGTTTTCCTTCTGGTCAGGAAATTTTTCCAGATATAGTCTAAACCTCTCCTGGAGCAACTTGAGGACATTTTGTCTTGTCCTGTCACTTATTATTAGTGAGAAGAAACCAAACTTTAACTGGCTACAACCTCCTTTCAGGTATTTGTAGAGAACCATAAGGTCCCCCCGAGCCTTCTTTTCTCCAGGCAAAACCCCAGCTCCCTCAGCTGCTCTGCTCCTCATAGGAGTTGTGCTCCAGATCCATTCTTGGCTCCACTGCCCTTCTCTGGACACGATTCAGCCCCTCAGTGTGTTTCTTATAGTGTAGGGTCCAAACCTAAACCCAGGACCTGAGGTGCAGCCTCACCAGTTTGAGTACAATTCTGTGTGGCTTTATTTCTTTTTAAGTCTCCACATTTTTCCTGGGACTAGAATTATTTGAGGTAAGTGATTATTATATAGGAATGCTAGGGGAAAATAAAAGCCTTTTATAATGCAAAATATAGTTACTGCTTAAAATTGAAGAAAAAGAGCACTGAAATATGAATTAGAAAACACTCAGAGCCAATTTGATGAGTTTCCACCACCTTTTCCGCATATGTGGGAATTTTGCTTGCTGCCCGCTTTTTTCCAAATATGCTCAATGATACACAACACTGGTACATTGCTACTGAGATTTATTATTTTTAATTTGCCTCTAATATTTACTGAAATTAATAAATACTTCATAAAGGCTTAGTTCATGACTCTTTATTTATAGGACACTGCTCTGCAAAAACCAAGAGAAGTTTTCAGGCTACCAACAGACTTGACTGCATGTGATAATCGCCTTTGTGCCTCAATGCATTTCTCATCCTCCACGTGGGTTACCCTTTCTGATGGTACAGGAAGACTGTATTTAATTAAATCAGGCAAGCGTGGAAGCAGTGCAACTGAAAAGTGGGAGGTATGTCCTGCAATAAATAATATATTTAGGAGGTCTACACATATCCCTATCAAAGTTATCTAACTGCATTAATAATGATACTTGTTATCCTGCTTGGACATAACAAATACAATTGTTGCATTTCTGCCTGAAGTTGTGAGTCTCGTGTTCTGCGGTTAGTTCCTCTATTTATGAAGGTGAAGCTGGTAAAAAGTGCCTGCATTTTGTATCTGTTTTCTTTATTAGAGGGTAGTTTCCTAAGAAATCACAGATGTTTTAGTATTGACAGAAACATAGGTGTATATACTGAAGTGGAAGATTTCAACATGATGGATTAGCTCCTTTCTCTACATCTTTTGAGAGTTCAGTAAAGGAAATTAATCATCCTTTTTCTAGATGCTTGGTAATAAATAACACCTAGTTTTTATTCTGTGTGAGAATGCTGACACATTAATAAGTTACACTGAAGTTGTCAGTGTAACAAAAATACAAGATTTATATCTGAGGTTCTGTCATCATTTAAATTTATTTGTTGAGTATGTACAGCACACAGTGGTTTAGAATTGTTTAGAGTAATGTTTAGTCACAACCCTATAAATTCTCAAACTTTATCAGGTTTCAATAACAACAGCTGGATTGAGTCTATATTCATTCAACTGCTGCAGCTTGAATTCTTTGTAATTTATTCTTTCATTTGTTCTTTCATTTTTATGTGTTAATCTTCTAGCAAATAATGCTTATTTTCTTATTTTTCTTCTCTGTTATTTGGATTCATTTTGGTTTTATCTTCTTTAGTTTTTTGCTGAATGAGTACTTTTTGAAAAAATTTGAAATACATGGTTTTTAGACTTAAAACTTCCAACTATAGGTACAAAATGTTTCATGCTATAAGATACAGAGTCTTTCTGTATGAAATAATTTTCATATAATAGAAATATTTTTATTAATTAATGAAATGCATAACTTTAATATCATAATTAATGACATTTTATATTCACAGTGGTGCCTAATAGCCTTTCAGTATGACAGTAATAGTTATTTATTCTGCCTACCTACCTCAAATATTGGATGGACTTTTCCAATCCATGTACATAAATAAAAACTTAAGAACTTCTAACCCTAGCTTCTCCTGAACATGAATATTATTCTCCTTCATTTCATTTTTGCTTTTTATTTCTTACTTCATAGAGGAGGAAAATGAGATATCTTTGCAAAGCTAAATAATGGCACGTTTGATGATTGAACACTGGCAATGATCCTTTGGACCTTTATGTCTTCTTTGCACATGTCAAGGTCTACAAAGATTTTCAGAATGTTGAAGTATCTAGAGAATTAGTGAGGGCCTTGGGAAATGCCTGCATTTTCACCTTGAGTGTGAGACTCTTTGCCCAGTTGATAGGCAGTGTTTATAGACCCTCTTGTTCTTGTTAGTTGCTGTACCTCTGTTAATTGCAGTGCTAAACAGCCACAATGCAGACAGGTTTGGGGATTTTTGTGCTTTGTTTAATGGGCTATTACAGTGATCGTTCAATATAAACAATAACGTTTAAAAATATTTCAGTACAGCAGCCTGATAGCCACAGAAGGAGAACCAGAAATGTGTGACATTTGTGGGTTCATATTGGCAGAGAGATTTGTGGGAAACAAACTGTTACTGATTTGACATTCCTGAAACCCTCCCCTGCTTTCTGTAAAAGAGCAAGGCTTCCAGCTGTAATTGTCTGACTTTTTAATTATGTTTTTGTCTTCTAGATTGTGTTTAATGAAGAACTAGGAAGTCCATTTATTGTAGCACACAGTGTTTCATTTGTAAAATCTGATGCACATTCAGTAGCTGTGCTGCTGCTTAGGGTAGAAAAAGATGAACTAGACACAAAAGGAAGTGGATTTCATGTTACTTTGGAATGGGTTACAATTGCAAAAGGAAAAGAGGGTAAGTGTTTTTCATCTATATTACTGGTGAGTAATGTTTAAAAAAATAAAAATGTTGGTTTTGTTCTTTGCTTTAGAAGTTATTTTTGCACAGGTTCTGATATTTCTTTTCCACAGCTTAGATTTTACATAGGTAATTTTTTCTTATATTTTGAGATCAAGTTATTGGTTATGGACCTAAATTTTGACAGACATTTGGAAAACAGGAAGAAGTAAAGTTTTGCACTTGCGTCATTAAGACAATTAGAAAGCAAGATAGCACTTTACTTGAATGTTATGAAATGGAACTTTTGTTTAGCTTGGTCTTGCAAAATCGAGGTTATACGGAACTATTTCTAACTAATTCTATTTTTTAAAATATTGTACAGCTGGATATGGGTCTTAAGTTTTTTTTAGTTGTTTTTTTTTAGCTTCCAATTAATGATGTAGGAGATTGGAAGTAGTATGAGATAAATGAAAGACCTATAGCATAAAAAGTAAATACTGCATATTTTAGGGTTTCCTGCAATAAGAGTATGAAGTTATTCCATTAATTTTTGACAAACACATTGAAAACATACTAGTATATTAATACCTACTAATTAATATTTTATCGTAATGAAGTTTTACAAATGATACTTTATATGTTCAGTATGACTGTGATATGGTCTTCCTCATTATGTTCCAAGAAATAAAATTTTGATACTGACAGAAACAAGATTTTAAACTAGTTGAACTAAAGTATTTGAGGTATACTGTCATATTATTAGCCAAATGTTCTTCCATCTCCAACATACATGTTATGGATAACATAGCATAGAACAGAATAATTCATTTGGAAATGACCTACAACTGTCATCTGGTCCAAGAGCCTGACCAGTTAAAGCCTGTTGTTAAGAGCATTGTCCAAATGCCTCTTAAACACTGACAGATGGGGCTTTGACCATCTCTCAAGGAAGCCTGTTCCAGTGTTTAACCACTCTCTCAGGAAATAAATGCTTCCTGATGTCCAGTCTGAACCTCATCTGGTGCAGCTTTGAACCATTCCCATATGTCCTGTTCCTGGCTACCAGGAAGAAGAGCTCAGCACTTCCATCTCCACTTCCCCTCCCTAGGAAGACTGTAGGTTGACCCTCAGCCGCATTTTCTCCAACCTAGACAAGCCTCAAGTCCTCACCTAGTCTTGACAGGACATTCTTTCCAGACCTTTCACCATTTGTGTTGCCCCCAGTGGCTTTAGTTGTTTCCTGCTGTTGAAACCTTGGATGATGGAAATATTTCTCAGAAGGCCACATGAGACCAACTGCCTTATGCTTTTGTGGCAAGCTAACAATAGAAAGAAACCTCTGAACATTACTGTTTATAACTTAGAAGAAAAACTAAATCAATAACATGGCCAATATAGAACTGAAGACTGTTACTCATGAGAGCACCAACACAGACTTTTATTATATTTTTAATACTGTACTCTTTTGTAAAAAATTCTTTTTTACATTGTGTGTTTTATAACTTATGACAAATATTCTTGGAATCCATTAAAGTGGATTTAAAAATCTTTCAGAAAGTCTTGCCAGTCCTCCAGCATTTCCAGGGAACAAAAATTGTTTGAAATTACTGTCACTAGAGATGCAAATAACAAAATTCAAAGTAATCGTTAATTATGAAGAGAGAAATAAATTTTTATTTCGTTTAAACAAACAAAGCACAAATCAGACAGCTGTATGAACCAGTCTCAAAGATAAAAGTTGTTTTGAGGAATTAAAATACTCTACAATCTCTTTCATCAGTAGTCATTTACTGTTGCTTGCCTTTCCTTGAAACTTTCTATTAATGCATTTTATCAAATCAGATTTTAATAAAAGTAAGTAGTTAATCAACAAGCCATTTATTATATTATCAAAATCTATGCTTCATCAAAGCAAAGCTTTAAAACATGGTTGTGTCTCTTTGACACCAACAAATGTGAGATCTCTGCCCTGTTTGGCACACTGGACAAGGGGATCACACTCACCACTATTGTTTTACCAAAGAACAAAAAAAAGGAAGCATGAAAATAAGTCAGAATGGGGGCAGTGGTTAAGTCTTTTCATATCTTCTGTGGTACTTCGGAGAACTGTAACAAAGGTATACCCTTTCAAAGTTGGTTTTCTTTTATTAATCAAACTTTTAGGAATACTGTTTGTACAGAGGATGTGCTGAGCTAGCTGTGATCAGCAAAGACATCATAATAATAAAAGGCAGTCTTAGATTAATCTAGCATATGGAAAACCATGGTACTGTGATTTAACAGGTAGGAGTGCATAATATTTTTAAATATAATGAGTTCCTTAGATAATAATGTGTCTTCTAGAAATATATTATGACTTTAAAATTTTATTTTATAGGTGATCATAGATATGAAATCATTAAAAGGAGAGTTTTGCAAGGAAAATCAGTCCCCCATTATGCAGCAATAGAGCCAAGTGGGGATGGTCTAATGATTGTTTCCCACAAACCATTCACATCTATGCAAAGTGAAAGTGATGAATTAGAAGAAAATGATGAAGCAAATGTATCAAATGAAAAGAAAGGTAAGACTTAGGCTGCTCTCTTCTTTGACTCAGGACAAATCTTGTTTAGCATTTATTTGGAAACTATAGAAATAAATGTTTTAATATCTGTCTTATGGACAGATTGACTTTTGTTTGTTTGTTTGCCTTTGCTGTTGCAAGTTGTATTGTGCATAAACCGATATTAGGTTCTTTTTTATGGATAGGAGACCATTAAAGAATTTTGTTGTCTTAAGGAAAGGGATATTTTGCAGACAGACATATAATAAGTTTTTGGTATTAGTTGGATTGCTAATGTTTAAATTTAGGTATCTTTGTGAAGTACTCAAATTAAGAAGACAGTCTTCCTAGATGGGAGGGGTGCCTGGACCTCCCCAAACTGTTACTCATCAGAAAGCTTTTTGATATGTAATTTATTCCAGCCTTTTTAAAATTTAAATAATTATTTTGAAAAATATTTTTAAGGAATGAGATTCCTCTAAAAGATTCTCTTTTCTCCAGTGGGAAAGCAGTTCAGAAAAATTTCAACGAAATGCATTCATACTTTTTCTTTGCAGTCAAAACAAAGTATGTAAAAATCTATTAATATAGTTGTTTATTCCTAAGTATCACTAAGCTGCATAATGTCTATGTTTATGTAATTATGTTGGATTGTTTCACATTTGGTTTCTGTTTCTGCCTATGTGGCATTGGTTAGTGAACAAATTCTAACTGAAGAATAGTAGCACAATCTTTGTCAATAGTGTGAAAATCTATTTGGAAAACAATTGAAAAGGATCAAATTTCTGGAATATGTTAATGTCAAACACTGTGACAAATGTGATGTTTTATATTTTATTATATTTTATTGTTTGTTTATTTATATATATTTATATTTATATTTATTCTATACATATATTGTATATATTACATGCACATATATGTATATTATATATATCATACATATACACATATTTATTATATATACATATATAGTATTTATTATATTTATATATACATATATTGTATATAAATATACAGTATATTATACTGTATATTTATTATATTTTATTGTATATTATATTATATTATATTATATTGTAATTTTATTAAGAATAGTTGTACATATAAATCTTGAGGTGAAGAAGTTCTTCAGTGCACTGAGCACCATGATATAGTTGCCTTTTGCTGAACCTAATGTAGGCTCTAGTTTTATTTGCACAGTTATATAAAATTGCAGGTAAAATGGACTTCTAATATCAGATACAGTTTGTGTCAGTGTTCACAATTTTAAAGGCTCTCATGTCTCAGACAATGATAGTTTCTGGGGAAGTATAATGATAGCACCTGTGACTGATCCATTGCAACCAGGGCAGTTGTGGTAGCAGGAAACAGTGCAAGAGTCCTTCCAGAATCACAGCTGCTGGAATGAGGTTTTGATCAGTGGAATCTTGGGTTGGGTTGTGACAACTTGAGGGCCTTCAAGGGGAACCCATACTTTACTTTTTCTCAAAATAGAAAGGTAACTTTTACAAGATTGCTCTTTTGAAAATATATTCATCTGTATTTGTATTTTCTGTGTATTACCCACTCATGGCTGTCATAGCCTTCCTTCTGTATAAACATTTCTCTTAAAAGGCCATTTCTTCTAGCAGTTTAATAATCAGACAGCTTCTAAACACAGTAGTAGAAGTCGAACCACTACCTCTGGGCAAGCAGTTCTATTTCATCTCCATTAGCTGAAGCAGATTAAGACTACCTAGTTTTATAAAATCATTTCTATTGAGTAGTCAGCATAGCTATATAAGAAAGAAGTTTTCACATCTCTGAATGATTTGTACTTCTAGCATGCAGTAGCTTTTCACAGAATGACTAGGTTGAAAGAGACCTTTAAGATCATCGAGTCCAACCCAGCCCTAACACCTCAACTGAGCCATGGCACGAGTGCCACATCCAGTCTTTGTTTAAACACATCCAGGGATGGTGACTCCACCACCTCATCAGGCAGACAATTCCAGTACTTTACACTCTTTCCACAATAAACTTTTTCCTATCCATCCTATATTTCCCTTGGCACAGCTTTAGACTGTGTCCTCTCATTCTGTCAGCTTCTGCCTGGAGAAAGAGACCAACCCCCACCTGACTACACCCACCTGTCAGGGAGTTGTAGAGAGTGATAAGGTCACCTCTGAGTCTCCTTTTCTCCAGGCTAAACACTCCCAGCTCCCTCAGCCGTTCCTCACAGGGTTTGTGTTCCAAGCTCCTCACCAGCCTTGCTGCCTCCTCTGAATGCATGCAAGTGTCTCAGTATACTGCACCTGATTCCTCAACCAAATTAATAATCATTGTTTCATTGTATTTAAGTACATTTTGCATTTCAATTTCATAATACTACAGTAAACTTAACAGTAATAATTAATGCCCATTATATATCAACATATTTGAGTATAGACATGATATAAATTACTTTCCAAATGAGGGACACAAACAGGCTTGATTACTAAAAAGGTGTTTCTCCATTTTAAGTTCAGGATATATTTTGTGCAAATTGTTCAAGAGTAAAAGTTAATTTCCACTTTTTCAAAAACACACTTTCAGAACATTTCGTGTGTCTCAGCACTGAATGCTGTGGAATCCAGTAATCCTTGTAACTTAGTTTGTGTTTTGCTGCATGTTTCCAATTGTAGACCCTCTCTACTACTGGCAGCAGACGGAAGATGATGTGACCATAACAGTTCACCTGCCTCAAGACATCACGAGAGATGACATAAAAATACATTTTTCCCCTGATAATATATGTGTTACACTGAAAGACCAGCCTCCTTTGATGGAAGGGAAGCTCCATTCATCTGTGGACCACGAAAGCTGCACATGGATAATTAAAGAGGACAAAAGGTATTCTCTATATGTTTTAGTTTTTTTATTGATAGGAACTGATTTTAAAACAGACACCATATCTGACTTCTGGCCCTTCTGGGATGGTCTCATTTAATGCTACACCCCATGTCCCTTCTTGCAGGAATGCCTCCTCTGCTGAAAACAGTTCACTGGCTTTTGCTGTTATAGTACTGTTTCTTTATCTAGTTGTGAAAGTAATCCCTTCCTTTTGCAGTTATTTTCCAGGAAAAAAACCCACCTAGCATCAAAATGCTAAACATAGATTTGTAGGTTCAACATATGTTTCAGGATTGGTTAGTTTGAATGTACCTTGTTGTATGTAATTTCTCTTCAACTTTCCACAAACAAGCATTTTAGTAATAATACAACCAAAATTCTTTAGTCTTGACTTATACATTCCTTAAGATAGTTTTCTAAAAAGTTATATATTATGTACATTATAGAAAATGAATCTGTGTGAACTTAACATGCTGTAGACCTCAAATAGATATGTTCCTGCTTTTATTTTGAAAGTAACTTTTAGGTGCTTTTCTCATTCTGAAATAAAAATATGAAAGAATGGAGAGGGTGCAAAAAAAGAATTCAGAGCTCCATAAAACATAGTCAGATTTTTCTTTGTGCATTGTCTAGTTTTCATACTCTGCCTGGGCTGAGCCATGTATTCACTCTCCCACGCTGGTCTGGTTATCTCAGAGATATTCACACTCTTTAATGAGCTCAAGAAGAAACATGAACACCACCAGGTGATCCACTCAACAGCTCATAGCTGTTTATCTAAAACAAAAGCTGCCCTTTACGTTGTGATAAGGTTGGCTTTTTGCAGTTTCCAAAAGGTTAACTGTAAAAGACAGTAATTCTCAAAAAAAAAAAAAATTTAGAGGGACTAATATTTTTATATAGGCTATACTATTCTATACTATTGCTGTCTATTAAAATTTGACTGTGATTAAAATATGTGGGGTTGTTGGTTTTTAATAAAACCTGCTGCTGAAAAATAACTGAGTATCTTGATGTTTTATAAGCTGAACAAGTTAATTTTTAATTACTCATTCCAGTGAGTGTTATTGCATGAATATCAGGCTTTTTCTTTAATGAGAAAGGGTAATTACATATTTCACTATAATAAGTTGCACTCAGTTCTTAATGCTTGTACTGCAACACTGATGTAAATCTATTGATTAAAAGTCAAAAACTTGCTCCAAATGTCTTCTGTAAAAGTATGATGCTCCTAATACCATTGTCATTGCTTCAGAGTTCACTAAATAGTTACTGCTAGGGTGCAGTAATGAGTAACTTAGATGGTTTTCTGTCAGGAACACTACAGCTTTCATTGCTGCAGAGCCTGTAAATGTATCTAAAAAGTGAGTATGATAAAACTGACTTCAGTTTTACCATTATATCTTTGTGTTTGTCCAACAGAGTATTTAAATAGAACTACTATGTTGGTGCATCAGGCTGTGTCTTCTATTTCATTTACTTAATTAGTTATTCCCAATAGTTTAGTGATTATACTGGGTTCTCTTTGTTGTTGTTGGGTTTTTTTTACTTGTTATGAAAATCTTATCTCTTCTAAGGTATTATTTTAGATAGACAGTATAGATAATTAGTTGATGTATTATTTCTGAGGTCTATAAAATATAAATCTTTTTGTCCCAAATGTTATATACAGGTAGGATGCACTTAAGTAGCCCTAAGAACTACTGATTATGTTGCAAATAAACCTCTGTAGTAAAATTCTGACACTCTTGGAACAGATTTTTTTACAAGTGATTTCCTGCCATATTTAAATATTTTAATGAGACTGCTTCAGGATAAACTACACTTACCTTGAAAACCCTGAGGTTTCTGTACTAGAAATCACATCCTTGGTCTGTTTTTCTCTAGAATAATTTATTTTGTAATTTGAATGCTAATGGTTTCTGTTATGTGATTTTCCTTATTAATTCATTTTGAAGAGAACTGTTCTTATGTACACTTAGAGCTTTTTAACTAATCTGACAAATGGATGTTGTGTTTTCACATGCTAGTCTTTGTCTTCTCTTTGCATTTCAGTTTGGAAATCTCTCTGATTAAGAAAAATGAGGGATGCCGGTGGACAGAGCTAATTGTTGGTGACACAAGAGGGGAATTCATTATGGACCCCTCCCAGTGCTCTGAAATAGCTGAAAGCCTGATGCATCTTACCTCTGAAGTAATGGTAAAGAGTCAAGAATCAAACACTTCAAATTCTTGTGCTTTTGCATGTTGTCTTTTCTTGCTACCCTTATTTGCACTGCATTGACCCAGCTCATCAATAGTTCTTTTACTATTTATTAATTTTTAATTGAAACTGTAACAAACTAATGGCACTAGAGTTGTGAATGCACTTTGAACAGTAAAACCATCTTCAAGGGAAACTCAGTTTAACTTCTGTGATGGTGTCTGTACACCAAACAGAAGCCTGATTTAACACTGAAAATAAATTTTGTTCCCACCATTTAGGATGTGCCAGTTTGTTTTAAAGCAATTAATTAAATGATTTTGAAAGATGTGTGTTTCTTGTTTATCAATAGGCTAGCAAAACTTTTTTACTGTCTTGCTAGGGTTACTGTACTTGACCTTCAGAGTGTAAATGATTACTTAAATGTTTAAAAGGAAAATTTAGGAAACTATAAATATGACTCATGTTCTTTCTGGCATTTTTGTTATACAGGAAGTCTGTTTGAACTAAAATGTAATTTTTAGCTGAAATTTGCTTGATACTTGGATTAATTAAAAAATGGCATCTCATCTGAAACTTGTGAAGTGTGCCTCCCTGTGGCTTTTGATATATTAGGTTTGGATTATTACTTTGTTTTTAAAAAGGCTCAAAACTGTTATTAAAATAAATTCTATTTAGTACTCCAGACTGATTTCTCTCCTCTCTCCCTCAGTATTTGTGAGAAAGATATTGTAGTATATCTTTTTACCATAGATTTTTTTTGAACTTTAAATTTCTTTTATTTTGTACTTCATACTGAGCTTAAAGTGATGATTTTTAATCATAAGTTTTCATTAATTTAAAATAGATTTTAATAAATTAAAATTAATAACAAAACTAAAATGTTTCATGTATTTAGAGCTGCATATCAAATTAATTAATCTATTTTTTAATAGCATTACTGATGGCAAGATGAAGCAAGCTTACACTGATGTACATTTACTAAATGTGCATATGTTTTCAGGATTGTGTGCTTTTGCCACTTAGAGAAGGGAATTTATTGTCCATGTTTTAGTGGCCTATGCACCTTTCTTCAAACTGAAATTGATTTTATTGTACTTACCACTTCTGCTGTCCTCCAGAGCAGAAATCATTCTATTAATTTTGAGTAAGTACATAATACCTTAATTTTCCAGTATGTATAGATATGCAAATAATTCTTCACATTAAATTGTTCTTTGAGTTGTTTTTTTTTTTATAAAAAGGATTTTTTTTCAGTAGTTTCGATTTTCAGTCTAGTTCATTCTTTTTTTCAGAATCCAAACCCTGAAAAAGAAAACCCACCTTGTAATGCTCAAGAGTTAGAAGAATGCGATGCTTTTCTTGAAGATGGTGCAAGCTTGAGCAGATTTGATGGTGATACCTTGAAAGTCACTCATATAGTAAGTACTGCAAACTATTATAGAAATACTTTAAAATATTTTTTGTTTGGAAATGGACCTCTATTATGAATACAAAAATTTGTAGACTCTTGAAATCACATAATATCTCCCATAATATCAAATCACTGTAGCAACAGAAATTGTCAATTCATATGTGTCCTTCAATGTCATTTTAATATAAAAACAAAGCTCCTTTTGTTCTCATAAAAAATACATGCACTTTCACAAGTGAGCCATTTGAAAAAACAAAGTTATATCAAAGTAATTATAAGGAAAGGGTATTTTTCAGTGGCATAAAATTCTTCAGATGACTTAGTTTGCATCTTCCTCAGTAATTTTTCAGACAGCCTGGTAGAAACCTTACAGGTTTTACTAAGAAGCTGGACCATAGATCACTTCATAATACTTCTTTGTCAGTCACACTAAAAATAGCAGACTGGGGGCAAAATGCTTCAATAGCAGGCTTCATCTAGGTTCTAAGCAGTCCTGACTAACAGGAAGCTAGGATTTGATCTGGGCTGTTGCCTAGAGTTGGCAACAACAAAATAATATGAAAACATTACAGATTAACTCATTGTCATAGTGTTTTTGGGGTTTATTTTGAAACTGGATGAAAGCAAAAACTACCTTGTGGTTGTAGCATGATTGGGGTTGCCTAGGAAATTGTGCAACCTCTGTCCTTGAGATTTTCAAGACCAGACTGGATAAAGTTCTAAATAACTCAGCCTAAACTACTGCTTCTCACACTGAAGGGTAAGAAATACCCCAGAGTCCACAGATCAGGAGGAACGTAAGCTCATCACAAAAGGGATGCTTTTGTGCATCACAAAAGGCTGCTTTCTAGCAAGCAGCAAGTAATAGTAGAGCAAATTTAAACTCCACGGTTCTTGTAAAGAGTTCTTAAAATGGGTGGCATAAAAGTAAGTCAAAGGTTAATGTGTTTAAAATATTACAGTCAAAGGACAGTTGCTGCAGGTAGGAAAAACTAAATTCAGCCCCTTCTATGGGAACTTGCAGCTTTGGTCCTTGTTAGTGTATGTAGAAATATGAGGTTTTTCAGCATACAGGAATATATTTTCACTTTGATTTAGTGAAAATCTTTCAAGTTGACTGGGGTTTCTTGTTAGCAATTATGGGGCCTTTTCCTTCAGAAATGGGGCTGGTACAGCTCTTTAACCACAAATCCTACAAACATTTTTATTGTGCTGATCTGAAATTTAGTAATTATTTGTTTGCAAGTAAATTAAAAAATGTCAACATTTCATAATTTTAGTATTCTGTCTAATCCTTGTTTCAGTGCTTGCCATCTCTTAGCTGAGAGGGACAGTATTTCCTTCCCTCTTAGCCCTGCAGAAAACCAGATGTGATTAATTAGAGAGAATCTTTTCCTAAGATGAGAAGTTGCAGGTTAGGATCTATCCTAGAGAACCATTTCTGCCCAAAACACTTTCCCATTTGCTTGTGTAGTGGACATAATGTTTCTCTGAATATTATTCCAACAATCTTAATAGCATCTCTTTGAAATGTGTAAGGTACCTGTGTTGTATTGAGCTGTTGATCAGTGGGATGCAGCTTAATGATTTCAAACATTTTGTCAAGTAACAAACATAAAACTGTTGATCATCTGACTTTGGCAATATGTATAACAGAATCTGCTATTGATGCTTTGAATCAATATGTTGTATTTGTTTTGTTTTCAGATTAATCTTGGAAGCAACCAGTATCTTTTCTCTGTTGTTGTGAATCCCAAAGAAATGCCATGCTTCTGCCTGAGGCATGATGTTGATGCTCTTCTCTGGCAGCCTCACTCTGACCAGCCAGAGAATATGTGGGAACACATTGCAACTTTTAATGCTTTAGGTAAGAAATTAACTTCTGTGTCACACACCTCTGAGACTTTCCTATATGAACACTGCTGGTTTGGCTTATGTTGATATTTCACTTACTTAAATCTGAATTGAAAGATATAATTCTGTTGAAAGCAGCATGGTAGCTTGTTGCATATAGGTAAAACCTTATAGAAGAGAGAGGCCTTGTAAGACATGGTTTAGGCCTTGCTGTTAGCCTGTCAAGTTCCCATAAGAAAAGAATCATAAGAATGAGAATTAGTTTGAGTAGCAATCTATTTTTGTAAGAAATGAGTTTGCACCTATAAAAACAAGAAGTCTATCCCATGAGAATCCGTGAAGGAAATCTGTAACCTGTCTAGAGAGGGGGAGGTTTGACTGACCATACACAGACCATATCCCTAGCAGTGAAGTGAGTTCAGTGGATTGTTAACCAGTTAGAGGCAAACACGGTGCCCTCTGATACCATGTAAAAATGAGCTGGGCACAGTAAAAATTCGGCTCTTGGGGACAAAGAAAGAAGTGTCTCATCTTATTTCTATCTCTAACACAAAGTCAACAGTGACAGTAGCTTAATTTTAGAAATAAAAGAACATAGAAAGGAGATGTTATGCCCTGGGAGGAGGACAAGCTTTTTCAGACCATGTATAGGATGTAAGCACAGAACTGCTTAGTAAAAAGGAGAACTCCTTGGATAAGTGACCTTGAGTTAGAGACTGAAAAGCATAATTACCACCATAACACTCACACAGACATCATCAGGCAATAGCTGCAGTTAATTGATTATGTGTTCTCGGTGTGTGTAATGTATGGTAAGGAGTTTTAGTAAGTGGCCTTTAGATTTTTTTTGTCTTGTTGACCCATGTGATAACTATTGGCATGCATTTTTCAACAGAAGTGAAACAAATAGCCTTGCAGAAATATGGCAGATCACTTTGCAAAATTGCATCTTAGTTCTCTTTACAGAATTGTAAAAGGAGATCAGTCTGAAATTAGTCAATTTGATACTAGAGTCCTGTAATGAAAGTGGAAAAGGGGGGGGGTTTCTTCCAAGTGAATATTAACAGAAATTACAGTGTATTGAAAAGTAACTTATTTTTTTTTTAGTCAGTTCTAAACAGAAGACAAGTTTTAAGTGTCTGTTCAAGATAAGGTAGGCTCAGAAATCCAAATTTTTAAATGTAATTACGCACTGGGAGATGAGGAGAGAGAAGAGATTTATTCTACTTAGACCGCTAATATTGGGCCAAGATTGCCCATATGGACCATGTCTGTGGCCTGCTGAGAAAATGAAGGACTTTGTGAGGCAGAAAGGAGCCAGATGTAGGAAGAGTATTTTGCTGTACATATGTATCCAAAACACCAGTTAAGATGAGGTACATGAGAATTGTATATTGCTATTAAACTGGTTAATGCATCTCTTCAGAAAGTACTGGCTTATGTAATAAGTGTGGTTTGGTAGTTTGGGTTTTTTTTTGTTGATGTTGGAGTTTTTTTGGTTGATTGTTGTTGTTTGTTTTAGGGATTTTTCTATTACAAATTGCATATTATTTTTTAACTTAAGCTTGCATTTTTATCAGTCAGTTAAACTAATTATTATAGTATTAACTATTAAAGTTCTGTTGAAACCCATATATTACTTATCCCTTCTACTTGCTTTTGGGCTATACAGGTTATGTCCAAGCATCAAAGCAAGACAAGAAGTTCATGGCTTGTGCTCCAGATTACTCCTATGCTGCTCTTTGTGAGTGCATGCGAAGAGTTTTCATCTATCGCCAGCCGACTCCTCTGGCCACAGTTCTCTACAACAGGAAGGAAGGAAGACAAGTAGGACAGGTTGCTAAGCAGCTGGTAGCAACCCTGGAAGCCAATGATCCTATCTTAGGCTTTCAAGCTACGAGTGAGAGATTATTTGTCCTCACAACAAAAACCTTGTTTTTAATAAAGGTGAACTCTGGAAATTAATTATTCAGTGTGCTCTGCTGTAATTTGTGTTAACAATTTGTTACAGAAGTGAATAGGTTGATGATCTGACAAGTTCAGTACAATTTGCTGAAAATCAAAAAGGGGATGTTTTACAGGGGAATCAAATTTCCTCATTAGAATTTTTCTGTAAGAAAGTGCATTTTTTGACTTTGCTGCCATGGAAGTAAACTTTTTCAGAGCTATGGGAAAATGTCTTCTGCATTAACATCTTTGTCAAAGTCAGATGCTGCTATTGCATAGGTGAATAAATTTATGCATTGCTTTTTCCAAGTGACTTTATTTGCTACTTCTGAGTTTTGAGTATTCAGTACTGTTTTTAAATGCCACTGTTTACCTATGAAAAAAGTAGTCAGATAAACAGTTACAAGTATATGATATGCCAAGTAGAATGTATCATAAAGAAAAAAAATCTCCAGTTCAAATATGGTTGACCAAAAATATGATTTGATATTTTGACATTCAGCAGTTTTGAGTGAAATATGAGTGAAATGAATGGGGTATTATGTTTCTTATACAGGTAATAAAATGGAGCCATTTTACTTTATGTGCATATTTTACATTATTGGTTTGGGACTTGTTTATACTTGCAGTAAAGTCTGTTCACATTTCTAGAATACGTTTTAGTAGCTTTATCAAGAAGTAAAGTAAGGGTCAATATATAGCTGGCAATTATAGATCAAGTGCTGTTAGTTAAGGTCTTGTCGTACTCTCAGTTGTGCCATTTTCATTTGACTTCATACTTCATTTCAAGTGACCCATTTACAATGAGAAAATGGCTGACAGAAAAAGCACTGGTATCGCAAGCTGGGATGGGACACTCAGAGGTGCTGCTTCTCCCTCAGATGCCACTGTAAATGCTGCATTGTCACTTAACTGTTCTGTCTGTGATGCCTAAGTCAAAATGTGGTATATTTGCAATGTAAGAGCACTCAGGCCAATGAGGATGCTTTGCTTTAACAAACTGCTAAGGTTAATTGAGTTGAATAGTTGTATCTGAAGATTTTTGTTTCCTATTTTAAATTGGCATTGTCAATACATTTAAACCAAAGAGTCAGTTATGACAGCTCCTTCCCTGGGTTGGGCATTTTTCATAGTTGGCTTACAAATCCATAGCAAAGGATGCCTAATGTGTTGTGTACTGACAGGAAAGCTGCTGTCATCTGTGGTACCAAAGTGCACAGAGAGACACAAATACAGGCACCCTTTTAGTTTGCATCTTCCTACCAATGTTATTTCAGAACTCTGTAAGAATCTATTGAGAGAAGAGTAAGTATTTCTCCAGTTGTGATTGTGATTGACTCCTGTAAATTCTCCAGATTTGTATCAGTGAACTGATTAAATAACAAGAGGGAGACAGGCAAGCAGCTGTGGCTTGCAAAAATCATCCAAATGCAGAAGCTTTTCAAGGAACCTGATTTTCCTTCTTCTCACAGCAAGATTATATTCTATATCCAATATTGAAAAGCTTTTCTTTACTATTATTTGCGTGAGTTAAAACAGACTGGATTTGTAAATATCTTTTCATTCTGTCCTTTTACAACTATCTTGAAAATGCTTTTTGGAAAGGCTCAGTGAATGTATTACCATTGCATGACTGTTTTGCATCTAAATTTTATTTGTTGTCCAATAATACCCATCAAAGTGGTAGAATTCCTGCAGAGGTCCTATAGAAAAAAAAAAATAGGTAACTTGCTTGAAGATGTATATGAATATGTATATGAAACCTTAGTAACCTGAGGTTTAATCTTTGGGGACACAGAATTAACGTGATACTTGGGAAACAGAGGAATGAAAGAATAAAAGAATCATAGTCAACATGCCTTTGTCACCTCTGGTCTACACCTCTCTGCAGGCAGCTTCAATATAGATGAGAATTTCAGCTGTTCTTTGTCAAATTCTTCTTGCTGTGAGTTACTTGTTTAGAAACATGCTCTGCTGTCTCCTGCAACAGAGGAAACAAAGTCAAGTAAAATGGTGACCTCTTCAGAGGTATTACAATATGCAGTAACTAGAATTCACATTCCAAATGTGTGTCTGTTTCAGGAGAGTTCTTTGCATCTGGAAATAACTGAACCACAGGGAAAGGTTCCTCCCTTTTCCATGTTACTCATCTGTTTGTAATCACGGTTTCCAGGAACAATGTATCAAGTAGTCTCTCTCCTATTTTGTTTCTATGAGAGTCAAGGATATTTTATAATCTAAATTATTTTTTACCTTGAGGAACCTGGAGTGCCTGAGGCAGGGCAATCCCAAGCACAAAAGCAGGCTGGGCAGAGAGAGCAGCCCTGGAGAAAAGGACTTGGGGATGCTGGTGGATGAAAGGATGGACATGGCCCAGCAATGTTCACTTGCAGCCCAGAAACCCAAACATGCCCTGGGCTGCATCATGTGAAGCATGGCCTGTATGTCCAGAGCGGTAATTCTGCCCCTCTGCTCTGGTGAGACCCCCACCTGGAGAAATGCATCCAGCTCTGAGGACCCCAACATAACAGAGACATTCATGGTTGGAGAAAATCCAGAGGAGGGACACGAAGATCATCAGAAGGCTGGAGACCCTTGTCTAGGACAACAGGCTGAGAGAGTTTGGGTTGTTCAGCCTGGGAAAGAGAAGTCTCTGGGACACCTTAGAGCAGTCTCCAGGAGTGTAGGAGAGGGATCTTTGGACAAGGGCATATACTAATAGGATAAGGGATAATGCCTTTAAACTGAAAGAGAGTAAGTTTAGATTAGATACTGAAGGAAATTCTTTACTGTGTGAGTGGTGAGGCACTGGACAAAGTTGCCCAGAGAAGTTGTGGACGTCCTGTCCTCTGAAGGGATGAGACTGAGCAGCCTGATCTAGTGCAAGGTGTCCCTGCCCATGACAGTGGAGTGGGAACTAGATGATCTTTAAGGTCCCTTTCCAACCATTCTATAATGATTAAAGGGGCTGCAAGTCACCAGGAGACTCTGTGTGAATTACTCTCTGTGAATTACTCTTAAGGCTCATTTGTTCAGTATATCCTAAATAGTACAAAGTATAAAATGTGGATATTTAAAAGAGATGGTTTTCTGACACCATACTTCAATATTTGTAGGATTTTGTTTCTTGAAATCTTACTTTTTCACACAATTCTTCCTAAGAGGTCCCAATCACAATCCATTTATAGAATTTCTTAAAAAATATTTGACTATTACAGGCTTACTTGGCTGTTACTGCATTATTTGATTTTAGTATTCTTTTTCAGTGCTTTCCTTGACTGCATGATTGGAATGCATCATGTATTCTACAAGTTTAAATAAATAGAAAGAAAATTAAAATTTTAAAATTATTTTAAAATATTTATATAAATTTCAAATGTGTAATCTTCCTATGCTACTAAAGTAAAATAGAAAAACAGAGATAGGAAATTCCTTAAAATAAAACTTGTTTTAAGGAGATTTCTGCTAGGGCAAAATTTTAGCAGGTGTCTGCACTGCAGGGCCGGCGGGGCTGTTGCCAAAACAAGCGCTACTGTACTCCTTGTTTATCTCTGTGAAATCCCCTGTACAGCCTTGCTAATGTTCCATTTCTGCCAACACACAAATTTACAGAGGTTGTTACTGGAGAGGGTTGATAAGTATTCAGGTGTATTCTTGTCTTAAAGTGCACACTGTGCCTCTGATCCTGTGTCTTTTTTAAGTACAAAATTCAAATGATCTGGAAAAACCATTCTAGATGCAAGAGACAGATCTGTCCTTCCTTCCTTCCTCTCCCTCTACCTCAACATGGGTGCTTTTTTGCAGGAAAGTGAAGGAAAATAGGAAGGATTTGGTCTGTATGTCTGTCCTTTGTCAAAAAGTGGCTCTTCATTAGTGAAACAACAGATCCTATGAGAGTAACAAGTAAGGTTAAAGCTTATACTTTATTTCAGTTTTTTGTGCTTTGTTTCAATAATGAGCTGCTATAACTTTTTCATTTCCTTGCCTTCTGTCAATTTATGTTTTCTATTCTCATTATGCAGATTAGATGAACTTGAAGCCTGCAGTCAATCACATATTAGCCATGTAATAAAATTTTTGGTTTAAAATTTTGTGCCATCAGTCCTATTTGCTATTTGTAATGTATTTCTGGAAATCTGGTGGGATTTGTTTCCCCTCGTCCCTATGCAATACGTGTTCATTTGTGCTATGGATAAAAATCTGCAAGGTCTAAAGATAACTTGATGTCTTTGATGTAGAAGAGCCAAGCATCAAGCAGGCCTTTACATCAAGACTATTGCAATAATTTCAAACTCAAGGTGTAGTCCCTTTTTCTTATAGAAGTGTTTGCTGGAATAAGAGTTTTCCTTTATAAAATGTTTAAGGTCCTTCTGAAAAACTTTCTTTACACAAAGATCTTTGTCATGAAGTGGTAGCTGGATATTGATTAAAATAGATCTAATTAACAGTTTCAGATGCAAACCTGGAAAATATTTGTCATAGTCTTTACCAATCTAATGCTCTATGCAAAATATCCTTTATTCACCATTCCAGTGCATTTTTGCAATCTAATGTCAGTTGCAAGGAATTCTCAAGAAAAACCACAGGAGAGCAAATTTTAAAAAATTATTCATTTTGGGACATGACTTTCATTATTCTGTGATGAATATGCACTTTCTATATATACTTTAGTGTATTCCAATAATACATTTCTTAATGTATTAGTTACATTCTGAATCTGCAGGACTTGTGTGCGTGTACATTTGTATTTTCATCTGTATGAATTCATACTGCCTTGAGGTACTGGGGAGGGTGGAGTGGCTTTTGGAGAGGAGAATCTTCTAACTTTAGTGACAGCAAAGCTTGGATTCTTTATTAACATGTTCATGAGTCTGCCATACTTACGTTGTAATGTCATGATAACTGCTTTATGTGAAAACATCAGTCATGAATCCTGTGGTGGTTTCCTCTGCTCAGGATTAAATATGAGATATTTCAGTATTTCATTCTACCCAAACTTAAACATCTCACAGGCCAAGTATTGAGTATATACCTCCAGTTGGCAGAATTGATGCAGATGTGATAAGTATTTCTTTTTATCAAAATAAGTGATGCTTAGAAGGAAAATAAATAAGACACACTGAATGCTAATTCAGTCACTTTCAGCACTGAAATTGCAGCTGATTGGACTTTAATGATTTTTCTCTGTGAAGTTACTCATTTTTTCAGTTGCATATGTCCCCTGTAATAAATGTAGAGTAACTTATGGTAATGTAAGGTTAAGCAATTTGTGGGAATTTTCTGAAACACTGAATTATGCTTGTACATGCAGTATCTAAAATATGAGCATGAGGCACAAGATGGATGTGCCCAGTTATAGAGACCAGGAACTCAGGCTCTTGATTTGATCATCTGAGCAGAAATAAAAAATGGATGCTTTGAAGACATTTTCATGAGTTGCAATTTCAGATTCTGAAAAGAGTAAAAATGTGGGAGTCTGTGCAGAATCATTACAAAATCCTTGAGTAGTTTGGGTTAGAAAGGGCCTTGAGGATTACCTAGTTACAACACTCCTGCCATAAGCAGGGCACCTTTCACTAGACCAGGTTGCTCAGAGCTCTGTCCAACCTGCCTTGAACAATTCCAGGGATGGGGCAGCCACAGCTTCTCTGGGCAATCTGTTCCAGTGCCTCACCATCCTCACAACAAAGAATTTCTTCTTAATACCTAATCTAAACTTGCCTCTTCCAGTTTAATATCCTCACCTTTGTCCTAGGCACTGCATGTCCTTGTCCAAAGTGCCTTTCCAGCTGTCTCATGGGCTTCCTTTAGGTACTGGAAGGTGCTCTTAGATACCTCTGGAGCATCTCTTCTCTGGGCTGAACACTCTGATACTGCATGTCTTCACAGGAGAATAAGCTTGCTTAGCAAGATAAAACATACACAGGTTCCCTTTTAAAATCTAGGGATATGTGCAATGCTCTATTCAAAGCAGCTGGATCAATCAGAAAGAGAAGTTCTCAAGACCTGTTCTGTTGTCATTTTCTTTGCATGTGGCAAGAGTAAGTCATCAGTAAAACTGCCTGGATGCTGGTGTGGTTGGAGTCACTTTTTTTGTACTCTTTCTTACCTGGTGTAGATCCAGGTGGTTGCTGCTGTCTGAAAAATTCAGTTAATAATCCTATAATACATAGTAGTTACATTAACTATAGAAATAGCTATATATATAACTATATATATATATAGTTATATAAATATGGTTACACAATATATAGTTAATAGTTATAAGCTGTAAGAACTGGCTGGTGTTAGCAACACAGTTCTGAGCCTCTTTGCATCCACTGTAGCATCTAATAAAATCTACCTTTTCAAATAGAACAAAAGAACAAAAAGGAAGACAAAAAAAGACCTCCAAACAAAAATAACCCATATCAAAAAACCCAAACAAATACACAAACCCCAAAATACCTAAAACTCAGACTGCTTTATTTTTTCACTTTTTTAGAGGGAAGTACACCAATAATGCTTTTCTTTCTGCTCTTAGAAACGTTTTCCTGTGCTATAAAGAAAGATGCAATATCCTCAAAGTTTAAGCCTCATATCTCTTAATGCCATGGGGACAGCAGGATATCTGTCACCGATTCAGTTGAGTTTCAGAGACAAATTAGTGTGCAATGTGGTTAGACTGCCAGCTGTTCCCTTAGGAATTGGGGAAAAGTGAAGTCAGGTTATTTTAATAGGTTCACTGTGTTTGTTTGCATGGCTGCACTCTCTGAGGTCCATATAATTCAACATACTGGAAGGTTCAGGTGCCCAAACAGGGAGCTGTGAGCACATTTCACTGCGTGAACCCATCTGATGTATCCACAGTCTGGTG